AATCGAAGACTTACAAGCAAAAACCGACAAACTGGTCGAAGAAGCAGCAAAGACAGGACTCCAGGTGAACATAGACAAGACGGAGGTTATGAAAATAACCAACCAACAACAACAAAAACAGAAGCAGCAACATCCAGCGCCAATCACCATCAACGGGAGGGATTTGAAAGAGGTTACTTCTTTCACTTATTTAGGGAGCATTGTCTCAACTACAGAAGGAACGGACGAGGATGTCAAATCGAGAATCAGGAAGGCGAGAAACCTGAAACCAATCTGGAAATCTTCGTCACTCAGCATCAACAACAAAATTCGTATTTTCAATACAAACGTCAAGTCAGTTTTGCTATACGGATCAGAAACTTGGCGGGTCACAAAGAATATTTCCAACAGCCTGTTGCAAACCTTTATCAACAGCTGTCTTGGCTCTATACTGAAGATCAGATGGCCGGAAAGAACCACCAACAAGAAACTATGGGAACAAACAAAACAAGAACCAATCGCTCAACAAATGTGCAGGAGAAAGTGGAGATGGATTGGACACTCGCTGAGCTGAGGAGGCCGCTGGGTGACATCGCGCGTCAGGCCATAGCTCGAGTGGAACCCGAAAGGGAAGCGGCGAGTGGGACGTCCAAGGGTGACATGGAGAAGATCATGTGATGAGGAACTGAAACAGTATGGAATAACATGGATGCAAGTGAAAAGTACAGCACAAGACAGAAGCAAGTGGAGGCGTGCAGTTGAAGCCCTGTGTTCCACTAGGAACCCAAGGGAACAATAATAATAATAAACACTGGATGACAGTTTCGCTCGTTTGAAGCCAAGACCATCAATGGTGCGTGATCCATTTTGATTTCTTATACCTTGGAGCGGTGAATCAGTTCAAATCATCTGAATGCTGACTAGCTACCTAAGTGAACGAGTATAACTGATAGAATTCCAACATGGAGAACACTTATTTTGATAAAGTCTCAGTGTTTTTTATACAGTAATATTTATTGACGCTCATAATCATATCAAGGCACCACTCACAAAAATTTCCCACTTCATTTAGATCATTCCATTATTTTTCACCTCTTGGTTTAACTGATAGTAGTATTTTCAATACCTCTGGTATTTGCGTTGAGTCACTTCTATTGCGAGTGTTGTGTTGGGTGTAGACTCGATGAACCAGTCAGCATTCATTAATCAATCCCCCTCTCTATACCTACCCAGCTGTGTGATTGTGCTTTGTTAATGCATGCAGTGCAATCGCTGAACTTTTTCTTAATTACTTATCTTCGTTGATGGGATCAGTCATTCTAACCTTAGCTAAATTCTTATGTTCTGATAATCTCATTACTCCTGCCTGATCTACTAGTTTAACTGACCTATGTAGTTGACTTAACTCACAGTCATTGCAAGGTATAATTTTGTAAATTATATCACTTTTTCAAATTGGGTCAACCTACAGTGTCCTTTAACCTTCAGAGCTGAGTGAGTTTGTAGATTTGAATGCCACGCTAATTCCTATTTTATTGAGAATCCTACTCAGGGTAGGAGGTCTCAGATGTCCCCTCCGTCCTTATATGGTAAAACTACTGTAGATGCCTTATATTCTCTCTTATTTTTGTTATCATTATTAGATTCATAATTATTTTTATTTCGCTTTTGACCCTTTTTGGTCTTTCTAAAGAATTTTATAGGATAGTTATTTGACACCAACCAGCTATTCTTCCATCTGTTTCATTTCATAATTTAGGCTTTTTTTGTGCTACTTAGTGCTATTGCTTGGTTTGTTAGACATTTAACTAAGCCTATTATTACAGACAAAGGATGAGATGAATTAAAGTTTAAATATCCATTAGCAGACTGCTTTTGCTTTTTATAAACGCTAGTGTGCAGTCCACCCTCTTCTATTCATTTTATTTTACATTCCAACATAACTAATTCTCCTTGTTCATTTTCCGATTCAAATGTGAATTTTATTCTCTCTACTAGTGAGTTTATATGCGTCAAGAAACTGAAGGCATGTTCTTTTTTAAGCACTTATAAAGTGTCCTCCATATATCTCCACCATATTATTCGAGTAAGATTAAACGTATTAAGAGCAACATTTTCCCAGCTGTCCATAAGGATATCTGCTACGGTAGGGGATATTAGTGATCCCACTGCCAGACCTTATGTTTGTCTATATATTTTACCTTGGAATTTAAAGATAGTAGATGTGAGGCATAAGTGAATTCCTAAAATAATTTCCTCAATGGGAAGCTTCTTCCTATCAGTGAGTTCAGGATCTGCATTTAGCTCTTTTTTAAGTGCTTCTAAGGCGGGCATATTGATTGGTATATTCGCGTAAAGACTAGTTATATCAAAACTAACCATTGTTTCATCATTATCTAGTTGTATGTCATTTAGTTTATTTTTCATCTTATAAGAATTAGTTAGTTCAGAGTTTGAACGATTTCTAATGGAGCATAATATTACAGCTAAGTGTTTTGATGATTCATAAGTAGGAGTATTTCTGATATCTACTATTGATCGTATGGGATAACCTGGCTTATGTATTTTAATGGTACCATACATTCTACTAGCATTATTAGTTTTAGGCATTAAGTTAAAGCATTTTGACTCACCCAGTGACGGCTTCATTTAGCGTATTAATTCCGCCGTAGATTTCTTAATCTTATTTATTATTGTGTCTACAGGCTTCCTAACTTCCTCATATGGACCCGTCTCAATATGTTCAGTGACTTTTTGGATAAAGTCAGATTTATCCAAAACTACTGTGGAGTTTTCTTTGTCAGCTTTTGTGATGACGATGCTTTTATCCTGTTTTAGACTAATTAGAGCTACTCTTTCCTGTGTTGTTTAGTTTGATTTTGGCTTTTTTTATTTTTCAGGGTTAATGCACACTGTGCTCGAACCTAATAACATAAGAATTTAGCTAAGGTTAGAATGATTAACTCCACGAAGAGAAGTAATCTGGAAAAAAGCTGAGCGATCTGACTGCATGCATTAACAGAAAACCACACAATAGAATAGTGGGAGAGGGTTAAAATTCTTAAAAGTAACATAAGTAGGTGGAGAGAGAGAGAGAGACAGGTTGTGATTACTGAATCTTGCCTGGTTCATCGAGTCTACACCCAACACATGCAATAAGAATGACTCATCACTCATACCGGAAATATGGAAAATACTAATACCAATCAAATCAAGGGATGAAAAATAAGGGAATTATATAGATGAACTTGGAAAGTTGTGTGGTGAGTAGTGCCTTGATATGATGACGATAAGCAGCAATAAACTGTGCTTGAAGCGTGTGTTCATTAGTAAATATTACTGTATAACAACAAAATGGAATTATAATCTACCACCACAGTGCGCAAGTTCTATTCTTATTTCTATAACAGATAAAATGTAATTCCTTTTCAAGAATGCTCATTGTTTGATATTAGTGTGTGATGCTGAAAAGTCCTAAAGTGCAGTGGCTGTACAGTATTCCTTGATGGCTTTTAGTGATTCTCTAACTGATATCAACACTTGATGAACCTCGATACAAATCAAGTTCTCACGACATCTAACCCTTGAAAATTAATCTGATAGATGCTAGTAACTGACTGACCACTGGATGGGTTCCAGTAGGAAGATGTAATCATCAATGGGGTTCATCAAGTCACGGCTTTGAGGACAAATAGTCACCCACAGAATCGACCAGTGTTGGCGCTAAGATTGCAAATTGGTAGAAGTTAGAATTCATGGATTGGCTCTAAGACCAGATCCTAGTGAGTAAATGGTCTACAAGCTTGGCTCGAAACCGGAAGATTCTGGGTTTCAACTCTGGGGGATGAATATTACTGAAGGGTATCTACAAAGTGAGTTATAAAAAACAGATACAAATAAACTTTTTGTTTTTCAAGGATTGGTTTGTAGGGATTTGATTGTTTGGTTACAAGATTTCATAATGAGCTAACATCGGTTAGAGAAGTTGGACAAAGCAAGAACAACAATTGTACCAGAAGATAATACGAGCTCATCTTTTATTATTTCGAGGATTCTTCTCAACTGGCTACAACCTGAACGATAAAAAGTATGAATTACATTAAAGATTTGAACATACTTTTCCACGATCACAAGGAGTAATTGGTAGGAAGTAAAAGTAACATTAGTCCGGAATGATTTAACTAGTTAAGAGTTACAAGCACTGACTATTTATAGAATAATTAGACAATTAGGCTTGGAAACAAAACCAGAGTTTACTAAACAAGAAAACTCTACTCTTTCATCTAAAGATGACTCATCCTACCTTGTTCTTTCCTTTTTTTTCTATTGACTTTAACATAAAACATTTTCTTTAGTTACGTAATCTACTTTTTTGTTATGCTCCTTCTCGCTAAACCTTGTTTCTATACACACACGTATATACGCAACTCTGTTTTTGTTTCCAAGCCTAATTGTCTAATTATTCTATAAATAGTCAGTGTTTGTAACTCTTAATTAGTTAAATCATTCCGGACTAATGTTACTTTTACTTCCTACCAATTACTCCTTGTGATCGTGGAAAAGTATGTTCAAATCTTCAATGTAATTCATATTTTTCATCGTTCAGGTTGTAACCAGTTGAGAAGAATCCTCGAAATACTAATAAAAGATGAGCTCATATTATCTTCTGGCCAAATTGTTGTTCTTGTTTTGTTCAAGTTTATTAATGGGAAGAATTGCATGAAGGGTATAGAACTTTTGAAAAACATGCAGTACCAGAGTACTGTACAGCTGTTTCGTCCTGGTTTGAAGCTCTTCATCGGTACGCACTCACCGCCAGGGTTCGAGATGAGGGCCTTCTGGTTAGAAGACTGGCTAGCTCGTAGACCGTTAAGACACTGGGACATAACCGGATCCAATGCCTAGCCAATTAATTCTAACTTCTGCCAGTTCATAACATAGCACGACTGCTATACTCAACCCCTACTGAATGTTGTTTGATGATGAGTCAGCCTAATTTTACACTTTTTTTATCTCTTTAGGCATCAACTTTATGTCACACAACAGCATGATAATGAATCATTTGCATCATCGATTTTCAATGGAGTCGATTTAACCTCACCAGTTGTTGATTTCACAAAATTCAGTTCAAATAATGAGTCAATATTCAATGAAGTATGTTTAAATTACGTGGAAACTATTTTGTTTTAACGCGTTATATACATATATATGTATTGAAATGGTTAGTCCATTTGATAAATTTAAATAAGGCATTATAAGAAGATCAATATTGGCAGATGATATCATTTTGTAGTTTCGTTACGACTACTTTACATCAAGCATACATAGTTCACGATAGTAAAATAAACAGTTTCACAAAGCATGAACAAAGCATGGAACACTAAAAAGATCCATCTACAGTAAGCCGCTACGGAATAGGACAACTTACTAACTTTCATAACTTGAGTGCTTCTATATGCAAAACGATACCTGATACGTTCATCTAGCCAAAGAACCAGCAGTATATACAGCCTTGATACTATAGGAAGGGGGGAGGTAAACACTCTGAAAAGAAATCCTCCTTAGAGATAGTTATCACAAATTCCATGATAACTAAAACCACTAAAATCACATAGACTTCCTACTTCAAAAACACTTGTCTACTTGAAAGAAGAGAACACGAAGTTCAGCAAAGATATCTTTTCGGCGATTTCATTTTCAAAAGTAGCTGTACAATCGCATTTAAATACATAATTTTACATGGAGACAATTCTTGTTTGATTCTACATAATTACGACGGCGAATAAAAGGTGATAATTATTTCCAACTAGATATGGTTTTACGAGAGGCTTAGAAACAAAATTACACAGGATTAGAACGGATATCAAGTGTGCAGAAATGAGCATGGAAACAAAATTGAAATAATAATTTTCAACTTGAGATGGGAGTCAGGAGGTGCGAATATAGATTACAAGAGCCTTAGAAACAAAATTGTATGCACGCGTTGTATGCGCGTCCTTTCAAAACGTGTTAGAGAACATTACCCAGCGTGGCTGCAAAGAGGAGACACTGGTTCAATCAGAAGTGCCATTAGTGAACATCTGATCAACACCTCCCACAACATCTCAACTGATTCTTTCAAAGTAATTTACAAAGTCAACAGAAACCTACCGAAAGCAGTATGTTTCCGACTTCTCTGTACTGCAGAAGCCCTCGCAATATGCATCGAGAAGCCGGAGCTGTGTGTTCAAAATAAATTAGTCCAGCCTCTACAACTACCATGGACCCAGTACGGTACCGTTTTTTTCTTCTTTCGTTCTCTTTTTTCTTTTTGATCTTTTTTCGTTCGCTGCGTGTGTGATTCTTACTCCCTCAGTCTTCATTCGATTCACCCGATTTTTTCAGTTATGAAAACAGTTATTTTAAGTTTGTTTCCATGCTTTTCCTGTTCACATTTATAATCCGTTTAATAATAAAAAAATTTACTATTTTACAATTATATCTTAATCCTGTGCAATTTTGTGTTTCTAAGGCTCTTATAATCTATATTCACACCTCCTAACTCCCATCTCAAGTTGAAAATTATTATTTCAATTTTGTTTCCATGCTCATTTCTGCACACTTGATATCCGTTCTAATCCTGTGTAATTTTGTTTCTAAGCCTCTCGTAAAACCATATCTAGTTGGAAATAATTATCACCTTTTATTCGCCGTCGTAATTATGTAGAATCAAACAAGAATTGTCTCCATGTAAAATTATGTATTTAAATGCGATTGTACAGCTACTTTTGAAAATGAAATCGCCGAAAAGATATCTTTGCTGAACTTCGTGTTCTCTTATTCCTAATGCCCATATGGGTGTTCTCTACTTGAATCTACAATTCAATGAAGACTCAAATCACCTTCTCCTGTAAAGCTATGTACATCGGTTGTACCTAGCGTTTGCTACCCAAACATATCATTGAACACTTAGCCTCATGGTTTTATAAAGGAGAAAAAAGATCCCCTCGCCTGCAGATCAATCCTGAAAAACCTGATCAAATTTGAACACCAAGCTCATCCCTAAACCGGCTTGAATGTGATCTACAGAATACGTGGAAATCCTGCTAAAGGCGTATGAATCAAACTTCTCCAAACCCTGCAGAAGCAATAGCGATTCATCACATGTTAAATCCGCAACTCTGTACACGAAAGAAGTTTGTTCAGTCATTAAATCTGCTTCTGAATCGTATTATTTTCTTCTCCCTTCTACACCTATAAAATTTCTACTCCTAACTATTACCAGTGTTGTTAAGCTGACTCTCGTTCGATTTTAGCTGAATTCTACTCAACCCCGTCAATCACATTACCTCACTAAATTTGCCTATTTAATTTTGTCTTAGTTTCTAACCGACTAAGACTTTTTATACTTCGTAAGTTGTTATCGGAAATTTACAAGTTTAATGACATAGATATATGTCCAAACCAAGTTCACTTTTAACAGTTTGAAAAAATTGGGTATTGGGTATATGATATTCATTATAATAAAGGTTTTCTTGTATTTTCCAATGAATGAAAAACAAAACGATATTGTTTCTACTGACATTTCGCTATTTAATGCTGCTAATAACTTTATCAGAGTAGTATTAAACCGGAATTTACAAAATCTCAGCATATACATAACAAAGAGTTAAGAGTTGATAAAATAGATTCAGGTCATTTTAAAAAGAAATATTGAAAGTCAAAATAACAATGAAGATCACTAAACCAAATAACAAAGGTAATAGTACATCTGTTATGATATCGAAATAAAGTTGACTAACTTGATCATCGTTCGTCAGTATGATGTCATTTTTTTTTGTCAAATTGGCAAATTGGCAAAGATACTCTTGTTGAAAACGGATATCCTTTGAAGTTTTTAAACAGATGTAGAAGTCAACTAGCCTCTGAACCTACAATCCATACCGTCCCTAAGAAAAAGGTTTTCATCAAATTACCATATAATGGGGAAATAAATAGTAGGATTTTGAGACAAAGGTTGAATTCCATCATCCGTAGAACCTACTATGCAGCCCAGCTTGTAATTGTCGAAAAGGCTAAAAATATGCTTCACTGGAAACCTCAAAAGTGCACAAGTGATTATATCACATCCCACACAATTTACCAATTTTCGTGTGTGTGTGTGGACATACATACATAGGGAGGAGTAATCGCGCATTGCATGTGAGGGTGGGAGAGCATATCCCGAAATGAATTGTGATAAGCCAATAGATGCAGGTGTCAGACTACCAACTTCGTCTATAGCTAAACATTTAATCGAGATGAACCATAAGGTTGATGTTAACTCAGCCTTTAAGGTCATCTACAAAAACGGTCAAAGACGTTTACTTAAATACGCTGAGGCTATAGCCATTCATAAACTTAAGCCCCCCTTGTGTATTCAAAAACAGTTTGTTATTACTCTTAACCTACCTTGGTAATCCTTATTTGATTGGATTACCAAACGTTTGTGTTAATTATTCTTAATTCTTTTTTTTTGTCACCTTGTTTAATTTAACTTTTCCATATATATTGACTTGACAAGTAAATGTGTGATCAGATTATTCGAAATGTATAGCGCTAATACATCACATTTTTCAGATAATCTCCGTCTTCTAATAACGCTATCAAAAAGATAACAAAACCTGGTGTAGATTGTTGGATTTGATAAGTGTGTAAAATTATAAAAACAGCGTGTTTTTACATAGTGAAATTGCTTATCACATTCGTGTTGATTTTGTCACTTCATGGGGGATTGGGATAAGTTGTTGTAACCAGGTCAAATTCTGCTTTAGTCCATCATTCCTATTCAGACAATTTGGATTCCACTTGATATGGAGTGCTTCTGATATTAGGTGTTCTTTGTGAAACCCTTAAATTTTCCTAGATTATTTCAATATTGTCAAAATCAATTTTGTGGTCTGATTCCACAGTGTGTCGGTCACCTATGGCTGATGATTTTTCAAGCTTTACTGGTTCAACTGGATTTCTCGGTGGTCGAACAGAGTTGGGTCTATGGTGTTCATTTCTTCTGATTTTGATTTCTCCCTAGCTATGTTTGTCTGATGTTTCTCGCATCACATTCTAAGCATTTTATTTACTAGACACAATCAGATAGAGAATCTTTAGGGATTTAGTCTTTTATATGGACAAGGTTGTTTCTCAGTGTGCGTGTCTGGCATTTTGAAGAAAACTCTGATGTCAAGCTAATTGAGTATTCTTCTGATATCGTCTGATGTCTCCGCTGTAAATGGAATGACAAAATTTATTTTTCATTCATTGGGAAATACAAGAAAACCTTTATTCTAATGACATAACTTTGGAAATAGTCCTTTTGTTGCTAAGAAAATATGCTATGAATATATATGCGATTGTACAGCTTGAGAATGATATAATTGAAAAAAAGGAGTAACTCCTTGTTGAACATCTTTTCTTTCTATAATTTAACAATTGCTCAGTTAGATGAACTAAAAGTACATACTATATGACCTACTAAAATGGGATTGGTCATTGGTATAAAACTGATTAATTGCCCATACATTTTATTATTGTAAAGACAAGGGCCAGGCAACAGATCGTTCATTGAGAAAATCCACAGATATTTATAGATTTTTATGCACATTATTATTAGCGTTATTATTAGCAGAGAAGCAACGTCTTCTGATTGGCTGTTTTCTTGCTGAAGGTCACCAATATTGGTGAAAATGTCCATGGACAAATGACCTTCAAATAAACTGACTTCAATTTATGTAAGAAATTTTTGACTACATATTTTGATGATTAATAAAAATCCGAATAAATCTGCTGAAGAAGCTGTGGCTTACACAGCGAAACGTTCAGAAAAGTCATGTTTTGATTTTCTTAACACGCTGGGATTAATTTAAATAATTTATAATGAATCAATCTGACTCGGAGTTCAAATTATTCCAGGAAGTTCATAACACCTACGGCCTGGAAACCTATAATTCCTCTCTGTTTTGTAATAATTATGTTTCTGATCCCTAATTGTACAAATTGTCAGGTTTTTTAGTGATCATGATCTTACTGTGTTTTTTACCCGATCTTCCTGTTTATTACACATTGTAATTTTACTAAATTTGACTCTTGACCGACCTGAAAAATAGTTCTCGAACTTTCTCACCCATTTACTCTAGAAATACACATGAATGTACAGTTATCATCTAGTTCCTTAAAAATCCCCACTGCGTCATATGAAAAAGAGAAGACGTTCAGCGAAGAGACTCTTTTAGGCGAATTCATTCACATAACTGTACAATCGCATTTATATACAATTATTTGTGTGTGTGTGTACATGAGGTTTGTCAAGTTTACATAATTAATCAGGTAATACAAGAATGATTCAATATAGATACAAAGTTAATCAGACAGCAGCTAAAGTAAGATTCAGATAGTAAGTAAGATGACGTAATATAATTGACTAAATTGTTTCAACTTAGGTCAGGGTAGCATCAGAGGTTATTACAGGTAGAGACTAAGTAGAAGTGGGGTAGAGAATAATGCTATTTAAATTAGGACTAAAATTGAGCAAATAAACTGGATGACGTAACATAAATGACTAGAAATTGAGCGTCAGTCAAGTCAAGTCAGTAACAGTGATAATGAAATGCAGAAATTAAATCGGGTGGGGGTAGAGAATAGGAAAGTTGAAAATATAAAATGTTACAGTTGAAAATACAAAATAATACTAATGAAGAGACAGAAAGAAAGAAATAGAATTCACCTGTCGGGTATTTAGGTAGATTATGTCCATTACAAGTGTAGTGACTGAACAAACTTCTTTTGTATGCAGAGTTTAGAACTCAGCAAGTGAGTTGCCATTGCTTCTGCAGTTTGAAGAAGTTTGATTCGTACACTCTTAAGAAGACTGCTTCGTGCGTCGGTGGCACAGTGGTTAGGACTCTCGCCGACCATGCACATGGTTCGGGATTCGATCCCAGGCCGACACACACCTGATATCAATGGTCGGCCTGCAAAGTTAGGCTACCGATATCACATGCTGAAAATTCCACACTTGTACCGAAAATACGGTGTGGAATCAAGCTGTAATCGAAAAAAAGTAAATAGAAATTCTGTAGACAACTTTGAAGTTTGTTTGGGATGCAGCTTGGTGTCGAAAATCTATCAGACGTCCTAAGAGAGAGCTGCGGGGGCGTCGTTTTTCTCCTTTGTAAAACCATACTGGTAAGTGTTCAGTGATACGTTTGGAAAGCGAACACTATCATGTAGTTCATGATTTTGTCAAAAAAGAAAAATTTCTTCATTGCAATCGTCTTTTGAATGACCAATCACATTTTAGTAGGTCAAGTTGTCAGTCTATGGTTGGCAAAAGTTGACGTCTATTGTTTTGACTGTACATAAGGAGAGTTTTGGATGCCTGTGATTAGTAATTCTAAAAGTGCTTTCATCTCCTTTCATAACCCCAGAATTAAAACAAAAATATGTGAAACAAATTGAGGAAGAGTCATTCATATTGATTTTATGCCAAGATATATTATAAAATTAAAACAATTTAGTCCCTTTGATAAATTTTGAATAAGGCATTTAGAAGACAAATTTCGTAGTTTCTTTACAATCGCTTTACAAACTAACATGGTTCACAATAATCACATAGAATAAAATGCATGACAATTACTCAGTTACTATATAAAATAAAAGTGCATACTAATGAAATAGTTCAAGTGCACATTCTACGCCGCAATTCCTTCCCTCAGATCTCGAACAATTTCGATCCCTGCATCTAAGAATAAAGGACGAAATTCTGTGGACTCTACTTCAAACTGTATCTACAAGTTCACTTGTGATTGTGTCAACACTTATATAGAATGATACAATGTGGTCGTCGGAAAGAACATGTTCCAAAATGATTATTAAAACACACAGAAAATCCCAATGCAATTATTAATTTGGATAGACATCCAGCACCATCCATTGCAAAACACTTATTAATGTCAGGTCACAAAATCAATCAATATTAATGACTGTTTCCCAATTATTTCACATAACTCAAATTCAAGGCTGCTTGTTAAAGGTGATGGAAGCACTTTTGGGATTAACCATATACATCCTAAACTATGTGTCCAGACAAAACAATAGACTTCAACATTCTCGCCTACCATGGACTAGTTGACCTATTTAAAAATATGATTGGTCATTAGAATGTACTTTTGTTTCTATATAATTGAGTAATTGTCATGATCTTTATTTTATTCTATTATTGTGAACCATGTTAGTTGTAAAGCGATTGTAAAGAAACTACGAAATGAAAATATCATCTCGCGAAATCTGTCTTCTTAATGCCTTATATTATGAAATGCTTTGCAGTAGGTGATGATGGATTTCTATTCAACTTAAGTCCATTTGGATCTTCTGTCTGACTTAATAGTAACCCTTCCAATGAAGACATCAGGACATTCTCTTGGTCATACTTATATACATATATATTTATATATATATATCTGCCACCACAACTGTTCAGGTGGAGGCAACCTGGACTACCAAAAACTTCCTTCTCTTTCGCTCTATTGCATATATTTTCACACTCCTTCAGTTTGTTTCAATCGATTAAGTTATGACCTCTAATAGGGGTATTATCTACTCTTGTGTGTGCACTTAAAAGGTTTACAAACTCCTGTCTGATTCGCAAATTCCTATCAAATCCGAGGAAAGGCTTGATTATGGGTGGTGACGTGTTCCAATACATGAGACAACTGTTCTTCATCTATGGTCTCAAAATGTACTTCTAAACATCTTACAATTGCCTTTCAACCAGATACCGTGGATTTCTTGAAGGAAGGAGATAAAGCATATATATCATCACAATGGAATGGTTTGTGTTTTAGCTCAGCGGTCATTGTATCACAGGGAGGATATACTGTCAGTTAATTGATATTTCACTTGAAGATATTGTACGAAGAGGGGAAATATCATGCGATACACTCCTCTGAAAATTCTGTACATTTTATAAATACTGTCCAGAATGAAGATATTATTATTATAGATACTGTGTGAAGTAGAGTCCACAGAGTTTCATCTTTTGATTGTGCGCGCATAAATTGAAAATGTTAGAGATGTAAGGAAAAGGGATAGAGTAGAATGTGCTCTCGATATCTGACTGAAGCCTTTGAGCTGTCAGTTGCATGATTTGATCATCCTTGAATAGTAGTTAAATAAAGTCAGCTTCCATCAATGAGGAAGTTGTCTTTTCACTGGACAGCATCTCTTTACTGTGACTTCACAGGGAAGTTTTCCAGATATCCACTAACCAATAACACTGAGTTTTAAGGGCCCTCGAACAATACGTTGGATGACAATTTCTCTAAATTTGAAATGTGTTGATATCACCAGTACTGATAATTATACTGCTAGGAATAAGATTCGGCAAGAGGAGGCCCTAAATGACTCATGTGAAAACACAGCACCAAATACTGATTTTCATTCGACCTTTTGTGACGCGTTAACCAAACTTCTGATCTATACAGAAGAACTGACTGACTCAACATTCCTATTGGAAATTTGATTTTTATTTTCTTTGCACTGAATACAAAAGATTTTCAAACTCATTTCAGAATGACAGCCTGTCTCCCCCTTCCAATAATCATACTGACATTTTCTTTTGTACTAACATCTGTTGTTGAAAGGATGGTACCCTATTCAAGTTTCACTCATTGATAGAGATTGGTGCTTCTTGTAGTTGATTCTTTATCTTTGTCACCTCTGTCCTCTTTATGTTCACCTGAAGTCCAGTCTTCTCTGTCTGCCTCTTCTGTCAAACTGGTTGGTTTCTATCTGTAGGTCTTCTAGTTTATGCGACACTAGACATAGATCATCTGCGAAGCCCAGATCTTTTAGATTCTCCTTATCAGTTGAACGTATTCCTGTCTTCTAGTTCCCCACATTCTCTCACACAATAAAATCCGTCATAGGTAGGAGTACCATCGGTGTACAACATGAAGAATCATAAAACAACAATATGACTCTGAGTTTTATGTCATAAAATTGTTGAAAAATAAAATTCTATCAAAAAAGTATATTGAAATAAATAACTCCTACATGTTTAGAAAATCAAAAGTTTATTGATTATTAAGAATGTTAGACTTGCTGCCTGACTGACTGTTTTCAACGCAGAATTTCGCACAGATATGCAGCAGTTCAAGTCGCCATTCTTCCTCCATGTAGCACACAAAACAAGAGAATAAAGCACAGAAAGATTCAAAAGACAGAGATATTAAGCACAGATATAATGCAAAAAGAATAGTAATATGGAAGAACAATAGAATTTTATTGGATACGAAAAATCACAAAGAGTAAAAAATGTATCTGCGCAAGCCATGCAGAACGAGGATGTTTAGCCAGCCATATCACTGATTGTCTCATATGAAGAGGACGGGAGAAAGCAGAACAAGGTAGAGATGTGTTGTTGAAGGCAGCCATATGTTCCACTCGGAACGCAAGGGAATAATAATAATGCAATAAGGGTTTTGAATATAATAAAGAAGATTTGTTGCTCCCATAGATGATGTCACTAGACAACACCTTCAGTAAAGACTTCAATTTAAAGTCATATTAGATAATGGTTGGAGGCAATCGGACACAAGAAGCCTGGGACCCAGGTTTCGTGCTATTTGGCACTCGTCAGTGGTAAAGTCTCTGACTGCAGCTCTCACTGGGTGACGCGGGTTGGTATCTGAGAAGGGACATGAGATTTCCCTACTGAATGCCAACTAGCACGAAACTTAGCTGGTTTCCAAGATTTCCTGCGGCCTACTACCTCCAACAATCTAATATCATCAAATCAATGTGTACCATGATCGTAAGTTACCCAGAATGGGGACTACATTGCAAACTTGACTGTCAATAGAATTCAGTCTGAACCAAACAAGTGAATAGACACATCACACTAGTTACTAGTGTCCAGTCAAAAGTAAACCATATTAAACCATCCAGGTCAGAGAAAGCAACCACATCAGAACTGAATTTTCTTTATTCTATGCTTCTTGTAATTATTCTCTCTTCATATTTTTGTCTTTATAGGATCTTGTATTATGGTTAACAGTTGGTAATTATCATATACCAAGACACGAAGATTTACCGAATACAGTAACCAGTGGTGGACCAATGTCAATATTTCTAATGCCACATAATCTATTCACCTATAGTCCAGATGCTTTCAGTTGTCATCGATTCTATACTCAAGAGGTAAGTGAAATTATAAAATAAAGACATTATCTCATCCCTAACTGATATCAAGTGAGATAACGAGTGTACTAAGTTGTTATTATTATCATCAGTATTTCTTTGGATCCTGGATGAAACATAGGGCGTCAGCAGAACATCGCCATTTCATCCTTTTCCCTCTTGTATCCTCTTAAGCAAGACTCCCCCCCCCCCCAATCGCCCATGGGCTATCAACCGCCTAACACACCCAACTCACCGTTGAGTTTCATTCGAGCAATACCCTGTATTGAGAGGGATATCGATCACCTAACAGTTTCCACAGCGTGTGTCTAAACCACTTCCACTTTCTTCTGCGTATTTGTTAAGCAGTAGGTACTTGACTAGTTCGTTCCCAGAGTTGCTCGTTGCCCATCGTTGACAAAAGTCTGCAGCGCGTTGTTGAAAAATAGATGGTTTTGGTGATGCGTATTCCAAGTTTTTGACTTCACATTGGTATGGAAACTAGTAATCTTGTTCTTTATGCTGATTTTAGAAAACTTCTAAACTGATTTTAGACTGGTAAATGTCGGCGCTGCCTTCCTGATGCTGGCTGGATTCGACATCCTTAGGCATTCCGCCACTAATGGAAACGATGCTGCCTAGATAACTGAAAGAAGTGACCTCTGTGAGATTTTTCGCGCTAACAGGGATTTATACGAAAACCATTTCGTCCTTGTTTGGGACTCTTCATCCATGTGTGTCCTGAGACCGAACCCAAGATCTTCCAGCTAGAAGGAGAGCCCACTAACTCTCTTCATGGATGTATTCTATCTGAACAGTACCAAACTCTTGACTGGTATACATCCTTGAATCGAATCAAGGATTTTCGGTTAACGAAGCCAACCCAATCAATGATTATGCTTTAAGCCCTTTTATGGTTAATCCTACAAAAAACTTTAGTATATGGCTTCAAAATATGTTATGAACTGGCTTAACAGAAGAGGTGGTAAAATCAGCTTCATGACGTAAAATTCCCTTAGATGAAGGTGGACATCCTCTTCCTGACTGCTCATTAAATCATTCTAGAGTGTGATTTGTAGTCTTAACCTACAAAGATCAATGGGGTCCTTCTTATGGGTGTATGTGTGGCCAACCATAGGTTTACTTAAATTGGCAGATACAGATGAATGCGACACAATTTTTTAGTCTTGTTAAGGTTTAGACGACAACAAAAATTTGGCTAAGTTAAACTTCAAGCATCACTAACTAACTGCCAATCAGCGAATGACCTCGAATGGTCCAATGAGGATTATGCACATGAGTTCAAGGTTGTATTGCGCTTGATTCGTATCAAATGCATGCTCTAATGACGTTGCGCTTTCAGTTCGATGAGGATAAGGTTTTGCAGTATTGTCTGGATTTGGGGTTGCTTACGAAGGTGAGGATTTGGTCATTTGGTGGTGTCATGAGTCTAAAAAGCTTTAGCAGGTCGATTGATGGATATGTTCATCGTTGTGCAACTTGCTTGAGACGAGTTAGTATTAGGGAAGGTAAGCTGATGATTTTAATATTTCGTAGGGACTTTTTCTGCTCGTTCGCATATCTTCCTAACCCAGATTTTGTATATTTGTAATTACTGGGCTTTAAAACAGCCTGTGAGAGGCGCAGCTGCTGAAACTGAAAATAGCTTTGTATCAGCAGTTCAGTGGTACCAGCAATGCAGAGACATCGCCTCGTTGAAAATAGAGAGAATTACCTCATTGTTAGGCAGAGAGGGTGCCGTCATACATGTGGACGAAACTGTCTTATTGAAGAAAAAATTACAATCGTGGTCGTAAGCGAGCCAACAATGTTTGGGTGATCGGCTTAAATGACATCTCCCTTCAGAAAGGATTCATGGAGAGAATATCATACAGAAAGTCTACTACCTTAGTACCTATTGCCACTCGACTGATGAAGCAGGGATCTTAGTACATATTGATGAATGGGAAGGTTATAACTCACTGTCATCCCTTGGATATATTCATCACAGAGTGAACCATTCTAGTGATTTTGTGGATCCAATCACAGAGACACGCACGAATTCTATAGAAGGACTTTGGGGAAGATTAAAAAATAGGATTAGGGCTATAAATAGATCTCAAAAGGATCTCATTTATAGTCATTTGGGTGAATATATATGTACAGAATGAAGTGTAACTCTTCTGTTGACACTCCTAAGCTAAACTGGGAGATGTTTCCGTCACATGTTAGAGAAAGATACCCTATGTAACAGTTTCATGCAGTTTTTATGCTTTTTTCCATAAATATACGTTTTTGTTAGTAAAAATTCCCTCTGTCATGTGATTGGTTCGTTGAAGGTCGTCCAGTGATTGGTTGTTAGTGGTGCTTAAAGTTTAACTTTGCTATAAATTTCGTTACCTCTATAGATATAGGCTTATTTGCATACTACGTTCTTTCTATGAAGTCTACCTTAGAGTATTTTTTGTTTAGGGATCACACTTTGAGAATCACTTTAGAACAGTAAGGTTATGTCAGTATCTTTTCTGAGAGATGTAAGGAATTATTTCAAATTTGATCATGCATTGATGTCAGCTAGAGAAGCATTGGAAACCATCAGGGAGTACAGGACAGCTGTTTTGTCCTAGTGCTTGGTACTTTTCAGAAGTAGTCATACACCTGCCAAGTTAAAAACCCAACATCTTCCCTTTATAATAGTCAAGCTTGTAGACCGTCCAGACACTGGGATCTGGTCCGATCCAGTGTCCAGCCCATGAGTTTCAACTTTTACTAATCAATGATTTCGGAGCGATCATTGGCGAATATTTCTTCTCTCTCCCGACTGCGTGGAGCCTACTACTCAGCAAGACTTGTCACTAGAACTCCAGTCAACTTCATCTTGTAGCCAGTTACTCACCAGTGAGCGTCAGATTAATTTCTAGGAGCTACTTTGTCGTAGGGATTTGATTTGCTTCAGGCTGAAACACGAATTGACGTTTGATGGATCGAGTCCCAGTGACTGAATGGTCTCGGAGCTAGCCTTGTAATTGGAAGATCCTATACCCGAAAGCCAATGAGTAAATACTCCTGAAGATTCCCACACTAGGATAAAACAAAGCTGTCAAGCACTCCCTTGGTTTCCAATGGTTCTCCAACTGATATCAATCTCCTCGTGATATTTGAAATAATACTTGGAATATTCTACAATTCTTCGTATTTTCTTGAGGTATCCCAGTGGAACATACGGCTACATCAACACATCTGTTTGGTACTCTTTTCTTCGATGTCCAGTTTTAAATTGACTCCACAACTGTCTAGAAAGTTCCATTTCCATCTTTTCACACCATCTCCTCCATATCTCTCCCTGGGATCCAAGCCCAATTCATCATTTCCTAGTCTGGTTCTACTCCAGTGTCCGTCTGACATATTACTAAGATATCACTAAAGTGGCCTCCTCACTGCGTATACCGAATCTATTTTCATTTCCTTATGCAACATATTTCTTGACTCGTTCGGATGAAAGAAGGGAAGGTGAGGCTGTGAGAGACTAGCAACTCCAACTCAGAAAATCAGTCTAATCGGCGAAGTTAAACTTTAGGCACTACTAAACACCACCAATCAGCGAATGACATTGAACACACCAATCACGTGAAGGAGGCGTCTTTGTGTGTAGAATACATATATATTTATGAGAAAAATGCATAAAAACAGTAGAAAAGTGTTACAGAGGATACCTTCCTCTCACATGTGATAAAAATAGCTCTCAGTTTTAGGTTGGAGTATCAACAGAGTGTAAATCCATTTTGGGTGAAATTTATTTTGATAAAGTCTCATAAATTGTGCTCAAAACGTTGTCATCAGTAAACATTACTGTATAACACTGTGAGACTTTATCAAAATAAATGGTACTGACAATAGAATTATACTCTACCACCACAGTGCACAAGTTCTTCTTATGTCAACAGAGTAATCTTACCACATTCTATGCATGTAATTATTTTGATCTTCTAACCCTAACCATAACCCCAATCTTTCCTAAACCAAACTGTAACGTAAAAATATCCCTAAACTAACTGTAATCTAACTAGAACCAACCCTAATTTCGCCTTCATTAGGTTAATCTAACGCTAACTTGTCCTTGGCTTAAATCGTAACTTAATCCTTTCCAAACCTAAGCTTAAACTTGCTAGATATCGCATTAATAACACTTCGATGAGCATATTTTATTGATCATGACAACATTAGTTATCAGGTTTGACTAATTTGCTCAGTGAGCGTTTCAAGGTCATTAGTGTGATCGCACTCCATTGGCAGCTAGTGATGCTTAAATTTTAATTTGACCACCTAATCGAAACAGAAACTTGACAGCACTGAAAAAATATATTCCTATTAATAGAGTGTTAAATATTACACACTCTCAACTCTTAAATTCACCTTATCATTTCATTTATTTTATTTGAGAATCATCGAACTTTTTGTAAACAGAAAATACAAGAACCTCAGAAAGTTAAGCCAATAGATATTTAAATATAATTAGTTGATAATGAAAAAGAAACGACTACAGCGAATAAAATTTTATTTCTTAACAAATTCCTCAACTAGATGATAACTGTACATTCATGTGTATTTCTAGAGTAAATGGATGAGAAAGTTACAGAACTATTTCTCCAGTCAGTCAAGGATCAATTTAATAAAATTACAGAGTGTAAGAAACAGAAAGATCGTGTAGTAAAGATATAGTAGGATCATGATTACTAAAAAACTTGACTATTTGTGCAATTGGGGATCAGAAACATATTGATAACAAAATAGGCAGGATGTTCGAATAAAAGAAACTCAAATCTAGTAACACAGAGGGGAATTAAAAAGAGAAAAATAACAGAAATGAAAGGGGAGGGTTGAATAAGACAGGTAACTGGATAATCAATATTGGTAGGACTGACTTTTTGTGATGGTCACAGTAGAGACAATGGTTGAACGTAATTCTTTTGAATATATATATCGTGGGCTTGAAATTTTGGACAGCTAGTGATACAGCTATTCTCAGATGCCTTGATTTCACTCCCTTGGAGGGGTTTGATAAGATCTGATTTTGTATATGACTTTGAAGGACTATTTAAAAGGAACCGAATGTTCTTTATTGAAAAGATGTTCTGTAACCGTATTATAGACATATCTACATTCTCGCTTTTCCATCCAGGCTATTAGGTATTCCTGAGAGTGTTTACAAGTGGGTGCATACTACGGCCAATGTACTCAGCTCCACACGAGCAGGTGAACTGGTATATGCATTTTGGAATGATGGCTCATTGTGACATCTTGTCTCTCACGTGCTAGTTGAATAGTTTCTCGTAAGATAATGTCACTCGTAGACTGGTGGCGAAGTATGCCTTACTGGTTGACTCCGACAACAGTCTACGGAGAAGTTCTGCTTCGGTATCACTTTTAAATTTGAGATTCAGTTTTAGCATCTTTTTCGGATCAACTTGGATAGTTTCAGGTCGTTTCTTTGCTTTTAAATTCTTGTCTATGAAGCTTGGTGTGTGAACCATTTTCTATCAAGGTTCCTTTCGAGATCAGATCACACAATTCTTCATCAGTTGACTCGTCAGTGCATATTTTCCGGATCCTCAAGGAAGGAGAGCACATTAGGTCTCTCTCCTTCTGCTTAGAAGAAAGTTTATAAACTGTCGGTTGCATGTGGATATTTTGTAGATGGATGTTCTCAGTGAGTTGGTAGCATTTCTTCTAAGTTGAACATCGAGGAAATGAAATATTGAGTCAGATTCAACTTCCATAGTGAAGTTGATGTTTGTGTGGGTGTTATTGAATGTTTGGAGTTGGCTTCTGAGATGAGAGTATCATCGAATATATATCTCTTGTAGAGATGGAGTTTGTCGATAGTTGATCATAAGGAATTGCGTTTTTCTACGCTAACTATAAAGCAGTCAGCCAAGAGGGGTCCGAGAGCAGAACCCATTTCTACACCATTTTTTTACTTGTGTATTTCGTTGTGGAATCTCAACCAGACGTTGAAGGAGGATCATAGTAACACTTCGTTTAGATAATCGATTGGGATACCGACATCGATGCTACTGGATTGAATAAAGTCACACAGAAAGCATATGATTTCTGTCAATGGAACATTGGTGAAGAGAGAGATAGAGAAACGACATCCAGGGAGACCATTTTCTTATCTGTCAAGTTGACATTTTTAGTTGGATCAACAAAATTGGATGTATTCAAGAGGTTGTATCTCGACAGTATTTCTCTCACCAGCCACGAATGCACAGCCTAGTTGATGACATCGTCGAAAATACAATTTTTTCGCCTCAGTGCAATGTGTATATTCCGTGATTGGTTATTTGTATGTTTAAACAAGACATTATCAAAAGACAAATGTTACGAGATGATGTCATCGTCATTTCATAGTTTCTTTACGATCACTTTGGATGGGCATTACTGAAGGTATGGAGTTGGTTTCTGAGACAAAAATCCCCATCACAAATAATGAGAGTATCATCGAATATATCTGTTGTAGAGATGGAGGTCGTCGATAGTTGATGATAGGGAATTGTTTTTTCTAGGTTAGGCATAAAGCGGTCAGACAAGAGGGGTCCTGCAGGAGAACCCATTGCTACTCGATCTATATACTCGTATATTTCATTTTTAAAACTGAAGTAGACGTTAAAAATTTTCTTCCCTGTAACCGTCTTTTTATTAATTCCCATGATCCACTATGTATAATCCATAATTAGCTGTCTTTACTGGCTGAATACTAAAAATCACACCACGGGCCATAAATGTTAAGCTCAAGGTAATCTGGCAACAAAGCTATTCAAGAATTTATTAGCCAACAAATATGCAGCAGAAAATGAAGATGGATTTGCTTGCACTCAGTGTGTGTGCGTCGGTGGCACAGTGGTTAGGACTCTCGCCGACCATGCACATGGTCCGGGGTTCGATCCCCTGCCGATGCACACCCGATATCTATGGTCGGCCTGCGAAATTCGGGCTACCGATATCCATGCTGAAAATGCCATACTTGTACTGAAAAAAAAATACGGTGTAGCATCAAGCTGTAATCAAAAATTAATTAAATTAAACTGTTGTTTGATACATCACACATTCGACAAGGAACTCCGATCAGACGCGATGTTTTGGATTTGAGTTCCAGTGTGAATAATGGAGATCGTTTGAGGGCAGGGGCGAAAGATAATAAAATCTTATGGATTACTGTGTAATCAGCTAATGGATGACTGCTGAGAACAGGGTAAAATGAGAATATGCTCCAGTTGAATCCCCGCATGATGTTCCACTCGGAACTCAAGGGAATGATAATTATTTTATAAATATAATTTAATAGAATATATTCCACATTTGTTATTCTTATTTATTATTTCCTTTTGAATCCTATAATTTATTAGCTAGATGAATGGATTGAAGGACCTCAAATGAAAGACAACTGTCAAATGGAGTCGATTCCAGTATTCTAAAGAATATATATACATAGACATTTTAAAGGCGTCGATGAACCGATAGTGATATGCACAACTAATAAACCTTTCTTGGGAGACTAACATGTAAATACAGTAAAATTTCTAAACAAAAGAAAAAGAAAAGAGCGGAGAAGATAAATCAATAAATCAATTACTTTTCTGTTACTTAATTGAGTTTTGATTTTCCCTCTGATTGACCGGACCGAAATGTTCGGCCCCTTGTCGACATGTCAGCTGGCTTCTGGGATGGACGCCTCGATGATATCTGAGGAATAACTTGTGAAGTTATTTTTGGTTGCTGATGACTAACACACTGGAATCCAGCATGCTCATTTTGTCCTATTTAGGACTCGTCATCAGGATGTTTCTGTATTCCTCAGTCAGTGACTGAGTGCGTGATAGTGTTCCCGTTGAGGCTAGAAACTAGTACCCATAGTGAGGTCACGATAGGTAATGGGTTCAGATCTCACTGGGAACATCACCATTCACTGGAGAATACAGATACGTCAAGCCAGTTGACGAGTCCCAAGTGGGACGAAATGCGCATCCTACATTCCACTGCTAGTCACAAAACAAGAGAAAAGAGTAAAGAGACATTCAAAGGACGGAGACATAATAAAGAGAAATATGGCGCAAAAAGAATAGTAATATGGAAGAGCCATATAATTTCATTGGATATGACAAATAACAAAGAGTGAGGAATGCATCTGTGCCAGCTATTGAGGACGAGGATTTTGAGCCAGCCATATCACCAATTGTCTCCACAAACACCACTGGTTCTTAGAATCCCGAGGACCCCAACCAGGAAGCCGGTCTACACCTCCCCACGTGACTGGCTGGCTGGCTTAGACTAACTGTCGTGGATTTCATTGACCGGCGAAGACATGTTTCCGTTTTACCAAACCACTAGCTGTCTCCCAACCTGATCCATCCTATATCAGTCAGCTAACATTCCCCATCGAGGAAGGCGATCGATGGCTAGACAACCATCTCGGCGGATGTAGCTTCACAGTTTCGTCTATTGACTTCTCCTCCTTACCTAGCACTCGACAGAAGCCTCATCTCATCCCAATTTGTCTCCATCATCCTTAAACACCTCTGGAGTCATTCCATCGGGTCCCACAGCATTGCCTCGTTTCAGACTAGTGACAGCCTTAGTAACTTCAGTTAGGGACGGAGGAACTGTGTCTATATCCCATTCAGGGAGGTGCTGGATGTTCGGTAAGTAGAACGTGGATGTAGGCCAATTAAATTGCTCCTTAAAGTGTTCTTTCCAGCGTTCCAGTAGTCTATCCTGGGAGCTAAATATGGTGCCGTTTTTCTCAGAGATTGTTTCACTTATCATTTGCCTTTCACGATCTGGGAATGTGTCCGAGGATGATATGGGAGAGATCGTGTGAGGTAGAGGAGGAAATGAGGGTTTATGGGGAGCTAAGAAAAGACTGAACAGAACAGGAAAAAGTGGAGATGTGCTGTATAAGCAGTATATTCCACTCGAGCCCCAAAAGAATGATGATAATAATAATAATCGTCCATACAATATGATTGAATGCCAATTTCAATGTAGATCGTGTCACCAATCGATATCACCCGATAAATCAATGAAAAACTAAGCTACCTTATGGGTTTTTTAGTTTGAGAACTATAGTAGCGTGTGCTACTAACAAGATTTATCAGTAGTATATAGACGCCGATTGATAGAAATTAGCGAAAATTGGAAACAATATCTTAATTCAATAGCTACAGAAGTAGAATCGTTTATTTCTCAAATCTGGATCTAACTCACGTTGTATTTGGGAAATAATCCCTGGAGTTCAAGCTTCAGAAAATCAGACACCAAGCATAACAGTTTTCTCTTTCTATCATAGACAACTTTTCGTGTCAGATTAGCAACAACCTGCCACAGACGCAGTTGTGTTGGCTTCCTAGTTTATCGAAAGTGTCCCAAAACACATCGCTCAGTAATTACAACTGGTCAATGCTGCACAACCCATGGACATCGGTGAGCTAGCGAAGATAACAAGACAGATACTGAGCACCACAGTAGCAGCAATGGAGCCATCGAAGTCGAACGAATGGGAATACAAAGTAGAAGATTCGAAGCGTGTAGTAGTGGCACTACGAATGAGTGCTCGGGAAGACTGATGCTTTGAATGTGACAAATCAGGACACACGAGAGGAAGTAGTGCCTAGACAGACACAGAAGGAAACATTTCAGATAGACTAGAAGTAGTGGGGGCCCCCGAGCGGGATGTATTCTAAGTTGCGAATGAATGACCAAGAAGTAGTGTGTTCAATAAATACAGGTGTCACTTTCACCAATAGATAGATAAGAATCTATGCCAGAGCATCAGACCATGTTCACTGACAGTAAGTTGTCATGTCAATCTGTAGTGTTCTTATTGGTGATCTCAAAGTAACGTTCTCGTTCATTTTTATGCCCAAGTTACGCCGAACATTACTTGCAACTGATCTTCTACGAGAGGCCGGTGCAATAATTAACACGAAGTAGAGGGTAGTGATTACGAAGTATGTATGAGACAACCGAAATAGCAAGCGTTAGGGCATCGAAATCACAGAACATGACGCTGTTAAACTAAAGAATACGACGACCATCTGTTCACTGAATATAGTGACGCCTATGGTTATTGTGATAAGATGAGGCATGAAATCCCACTGAGTCGTCGGAAAATGCCACCATTTACAACGCGAAGAGTTCGATGTCATTTAAAAGTGAAGGAGATGTTACACAATGATATTATTGAAGAAGCTGACCATCCGTATACGATTATAATCTATGCCAGAGCGTATTTATTGACGGTATGTTTTTTTTTATTCCTTCACGTTCCCAGTGGAACATAGGGCACCTTCAGACTAGAGGCTTAAAGTTTCCGTATCAGTGGTGTTTATTTTTACAGGATGGGGTCGCTAGCCTGATACCCAACCTTCCCTCTTTACCACTCTTATTACTGGCTTGGAGAGATAAAGCAGCGCGTTGGCAGCTTATCAACTTGTCTCATCGAAAGATTCGATTTCACTTCGGGTACATCTTTTCGATCAACTTATCCAAGGTGGTGTTCAATATCTAAAAAAGGTTATATTTAACTTCGATATAGAACGGTTTTGTATGGTCAATGAAACACTTAATGAACGATAAAATCTAATTGATATAGCTCCACACTTAGCTTATCCATTACCAATTATGTTGCCGATATATACAAGCATGTTTTGTAACATTTGTGCATTTTTCTTATTGCTTATGAAGTTGTTTTCTTTAATCATTCTCGTTCCCAGGGGAACATAGGGCACCTTCAAGCTAGAAGTTTCTGCAGCAGTGGTGCTTATTTTTACGGCATGGGGTTGCTAGCCAGCCTCATGGCTGGTCAACCTTTCCTCCTTACCAGCTTTTATTACTGGTTTGGCAAGGTAAAGAAGTGCGTTGGCGGCCAGGGCTGGCTGGATTCAACATAGAACTTGGCACCGAAGTGCAGCAGTTCCAGTTGCCACGTTCCAAATACCACACAAAGGTAGACAAGAAGATAAGTGGAGAGAATCAATAGAGTTTTGACAAGTATAAGAGTGAAACAGAATGAGTAATGGTAGAAAGGAATATGAAAGATTACAGAGACTGAATACATCTGCGTAAGCCATTGACAACGATTTTGAGCCATGTCACCTATTGTCTCCAGCCATTGATTCTTAGAGTCCCGAGGGCCCCGACCCGGAAGTCTGCATCTCCCTCCCTATCTGACTCAGTTTAACTGTCAAGGATTTCATGGATTGATTGATGCCATGTTTTTGTTTGGCCACCGCTTACTCTTTTTCAACCTGCACCTATATCAGCTAGTAATGCCCGTCGGGGGAGGCGGTGGTTAGGCATACGCAGCACGTAACCTAGCCATCTCAATCTATGTAACTTTATAGTCTCGTCGATTGATTTTCCCTCTTTGCCCAACACTCTACGCCTAACGTCAACATTACTTACCTTATTATACCACCTAACGTGAGAAAGAGATCGTAGACATCTGTGGTCAAAAACAGTCAACCTTTTCATGTCTTCAACTCGTATTGGCCATGTTTCAGAGCCATCATAGAGAAGGACGGAGCGAACTGCTGAGCAGTACACATGTCCCTTGATTGATAGCCGAATGTCATGCCTACGCCGGAGATGGTGTAAATTAGCGAAAGCAGCCCGAGCTTTCTGGATCCGTGCTGAGATTTCGTCACCAATCAATCCGTTGGTGCTGATACAACTTCCCAAATAGGTGAAGGGGTCAACATGTTCTATCACTTCACTCCCTATCACTAAGCTAGGAGTTGACGTAGTCCAGTCCTGTAGCAGTATCTTACATTTTATAGGGGCGAATCGCATACCAAACATACGAAGATTGCTGCTCAAGGTGTTCAGAAGACTGCATTTTGTCAGCATCCTCCCCTAACAGGAATATGCCATCTGCATATTCTAAGTCCATAAGACTATTCCCTGGTAACAAGTCGATTCCTAAGTCGTTAAGTTCAGTTAAGGATAATGGCGCCTGGGGATCAAAACCCCAGACCATATGCATGTTCATTGAGCCTCATAACCGCTGTACAACCGACGCACTTTGACGGTACGTGGATACGTGTTAAACACCACCAGTATGTCAAACTGTAGTGTTCTTATTGGCGGATCGGATCGAATCGCATCGACACCACACAAGCGTGACTCTGGCACCAATCAGGCTGATAATACTTCTGATAAAAAATAGAACAAACACTTTCAACTACATACGTATCAGTATATATTTTGTATTATTATCATTATTATGCATTACGTAATACATATATATATGTATATACCTCAATGAGGAAAGTATATATATGTATGTATGTATGTGTGTATGTATTTGTGTGTAAATATAACTATGTGAAAATTTAAAGGAAAATAAGGAAAGACAGGTTTTCAAACCTTTTCCTCCTTCTTCTTCTTCTTCTTTCTAATAAATATTCAATAAATCAATAAATAAATAGACAAATGATGAGTAGAGTAGAATAGAGTTGAGTAGAGGAAACTAACTGACATGGGCCGCCGCCCTGTAACACTGAGACCCGCAAATAAACAACAGCGACAACGACGACGACGAAATTAAACAACAACAACAACGATAATAGTCATAATAATAATACTAATAATAATAACTTCAGTGCTGGCGGTAATATATCAGAAACAAACTAGAGGAATGTGTCTGTATGCATATTTGTTTGTTTGTGTGTGTGTAAGTGTGTAGGAGACATAGAGAGATGTAGAATACACAGAATAAACAAAGCGAATTAGGCGCAAGGAATTGTCAACTAGGCAGAAATAAGATAGAGTAGTAGTAGTAGTAGCAGCAGTAGGGAGTTCAATCACAAGAGTCAAGGAGATCGAGGAGGAGGAGGAGCAGGAGGAGATTCATCACAACACAGCTGCCGTAAGAAAAATAAAAGGGAGGAAGAATGGAGAAAACAAAGAAGACGGCACCAACAGATAGACAGACAAACGGACAGAGAGATATTGCGTGTTATTATGAGTAAGAATAATGAGATGTTAGTAATAAATACGGAATGCTTGTATAACTGACAGAAAACGGAAAGTGTGTGCGGGGGTGTGTGTGGGGGGGTACTTTGGAGGAAAGGAAAGTCAATAGGCGAAAGCAACTCGACTAGATAAGCACATCGCCATCACTATCTTCGTCAACAACAACAATAACAGTGGAGGAGGTCAATTCTTCTCCTTTACACATTATTCATTCATGATTATACAATATATAGATGATAGAAAGGGAGAGAGAGATTAAATTAACTAACATTAATTGAGGAATGCTTTTCAATAGAAGTATTCAATAAAATGCTAATATAGATAGATAGAACTCCCACTCTCTCTCTCTCTCTCCGCTAACACCCAACCACCCCCACTCTGGCCCTTTTCTCTCTTGATTCTAGAAGACTAGATGAGATTTTGAGTAGATGACAAAGAGAGATAACGAGAGAGAGAGGCCGAGAGAGGGAAAAATGCGAAATAAAGAAACGAGAGGATAAATATGAGAGTAAATAACCTTTTTTGGCAAAAACTGAAGTATAGAAAAAAACTTCTTATGTCATCATTTCAAACAAAGCATAGATATTGATTGAAATGTTTGTGTGTGAGTGTGGAGACAGGGAGAGGAGAGAGAAACTATGACTCCGTTCATACTGGTTCACCCCCAGCTCCAACAATCACCTGTGCTCCTCCACCGACTCCACTACCGCTACTAGTATTCGCTGATGGAAGTACTGTTCCCGGTGGATAAGATAATTTTTCTAAATCGCTCAGAAATCCTTCAGGTACTAGGAGGTGGGTTCCACCGACAATAATATCCCATTGTTTACCAGTTGTTGTGTTCATTACTTCATATGCACAACGCATTTCTGAATAGGATATTCCACCGATAATGAAAAATATCAGTCTGGGCCCAGAACGTGGTTGTTGACTTTTATCCCTATGCCACATACCATATCTAGCTGACATTGGTGCATTCCCTGTCCGGGTACCCGGTCCACGAACAGGTCCACCACCAAAGTATTGAAATGCCTTTTGATCTAATTTATCTTCAACAGCATCCTAAGAAGAAGAAGAAGAAAAGAAAAGTGGAATAGAAGCAAGTTTGTTATTGAACAACAAAAATTATCACAAAAAAGAAACCCGGTAAATATACTAGACAACTACTAGCGTTTAAATGTAATCGGCAATGAGCCACAGCTACTGTGTAATATGAGAGAGCGCCAGAGTGATAGTATACCTCCTTGTCACCTTCGCCCCCGTCCCCTGGGCAATCTAATCACAACATTTATACTTGTTTGGATGTTTCAACCAACACTGTCTAACTGACTGACTGACTGGTTTCAACATAGAACTCTGCACCAATGTGCGGCAGTCCGAGTCACCGCACTTCACTCAGCACACAAAGCCAGAGAAGAAAGTAAAAAGAAATGCGAAATAGACACAGCAAACAGAGATATGAGGCAAGAAGAATACTAATATAGAAGAAAAATGTACATTTATTGGGTAGTATGTCACAAGGCCTGGATGCATCTGCGCCTGCTATTGACAATGAGAATTTTGAGCCAGCTATATCACCAATTGTCTCCAGCCTTCATTGGTTTTACTGTCCCGACGGCCTCAACGAGGATGACAATCTACACCTCTCTACGTGACTGCCTGGTTGGCTTAAACTAACTGTTGTGGATTGCATTGACTGATGAAACCATGTTAATTTTGGTTTGACCACCACTGGCCTTCTCTTTTCCAACCTGACCCTATGTCTGCTAAGATTGCCGGTCAAGAAGGGTGATAGCTAGACATACGTAACACATGTCCTACCCATCTCACTCAGTCGATATAACTTCATAACCTCTTCGATTGAGTTCCACTTGCCTAGCACTCGACCGAAGCCTAACATCAATACTGCTCACCCTATTATACCATTTCACACGGGAGATAGGATACAGGCACCTATGAACAAAGGCAGCTAGCCAGACTTCTCATGTCTTCCACTCTCAATATCCAGGCCTCGCTCATAGCCATAAAGGAGGACGGGTCGGACTGCTGCCGTGCAGTACATCCACCCTTTGGTCAATAGCCGGATATCATGTCTACGCCACAGGCGGTGTAGACTAGCATATGCGAAACTAGCTTTCTGTATCCGTGCAGAGATTTCGTCAGCGATCAACCCGTTGGATCTGATGCAAATTCTCAAATAAGTGAAGTGGTCAAGACGCTGAGCCACCAATTCACTCCCTATTTCTAAGCTAGGAGTCAGTGTAGTCCAGTCCGCTAGCGTCATCATCTTACATTTGACAGAGGGAGCGAATCGCATACCAGGTCAGTGATCTCTTGCTTAACCAATGTTAGCAGATATAGAATTAGATGGTTAAAGAATTACTGTTAGCCAAACCAAAACTTGGGAGACCAATCAATCATCCATGAATTCTTTGACAGTTTGGCTTTACAGAAAGTCACGTAGGCAGGTTTAAACTGTCTGGCTGGGACTCCTCAAAACTCTAAGAACCAATAGTTTGAGACTGTTGGTGATATCGCTTGAAAAAAACTATTGTCAACAGATCAGATGCATTCACGTTTTATAATCTTCCACGAATCCATTATTCTTTCTCCTGTACAGTTGTGCTCCTTATCGTTCCTTTGAATTTCTTTTCTCTCTCTCCCTGTTGGTTTCCTTTGTATGGTTCACGGAGTCTAACAACTTGAAGTGCTGTACAAAGTTCTATGCTGAAACTCAGTTAGACAGTCAGTTAGGAGAGAATTAAGACGAACAAGCTGTTCACTGACTGTTTCATGGATCTAAACGACTCTTTAACTGATGCTATTTCGTGTTTTAAAATTGCTCTGATACCTCATTTTTCTTTTTCAGGGATATGAATGCAATAGGCATTTTTTGTGCTTTCCAATCGAAGGAACTGATTTTCCGGCAGTTCAGAGAGTATTGGATAACTAGCTGTTTCGCACTCATTTGAGACTTTTCATCAGTACACAAACACACTCACCGAAGTTCGAATCAGCGATCTTCCCACTACACTATCCCTGTGTATTTCCCCTGAATGTAACCTAATTATCTCAAAGAGAAGAAAGAAACAAGGGAAAGGCTGAGCTGGTCACCTTAAAGATTTCCATTATTTGCAGCAACTCGTCCAAGAATTTCCACGAAACTTCACAAAGCTGCCAGTGATGAGCACCAGTCCCTTCGACAAAAGCAAAAGACTAAAATGCTAAAAAAAGTCACTTAAAAGCCAGGCGGAAAAGCAAAACTGACACAGATACCTCAGCAGAGAATATCTCCACGCCACTCTATTGGAGAAGGTTTCGAAGGAGGTAAAAGTATCTAATAAACGGGGAAAGGGAGACCCTCAAATCTTTGCAACAACCAGTGTGGACTTGCGCCAATGTCCATCTCAAACAAAGTATTACGGTGCATCATTCTGGAGAAATCTTAATATGCACTATGATATGAGGACCTATATATTTAGTCTACCATGTTAGTTATCTTGTTTTATATTCCCCCCTCCCCCAAACCCCAACCTTTCCCCAAAAACCACAAAATTAGCGCTGAAATTTTATTTATGAATGAAGAACAAAACCCATAAAAATAATTAATCTAAATCATTTAAATAAAACAATATATTCTACTGACTAATTAAGATGAGCTAGTTGAATACTACTCAAATCAACCAGTAGTGCCAGCTAGCCAGATTGAGGTGGTCCAAACAATATGACAGACAGCCATTTCGCTCATTTACGGCGAAGCTCATCAACGGTGTATCCATCCAGTTTGACTCAGTTCACACAGCCGAATCAGTTGAAACCATCCAATTTCTGACTACTAACTTGGGAAAACTGACGACACTATGAATCAGTCACAATTAACAATTGGAAAGGATTTTGGATGCATTCCAATTTTCAAGAGTAGGTTTGTAAGGATTAAATTTATTTTTTTATGAGTTTGACCACGAATTGATATCAGTTAGAGAACCATGGAAAACTAGCCTAGGGGGAACTGAACAGCCATCTGTTCCATCCTAGTGCTTGGGAATCATCAGCAGTACGCACCCACCACCCAGGTTCGAACACAAGACCTTCCGGTTACAAGGAAAGCTCGTCCAGTACTCCCTGGTTTTCAATGCCTCTCTAACTGATATCAATCCATGGTCAAACTCATAAAAACAAATCTAATCCTTACAAACCAACTATAGAAAATTAATCTGATGCTCGCTAGTGACATGCTACAGGAAAGCGTTTCCTGGAGTTCTAGTAAGAAGTCGTGACCAGTGAGGTCCATCCAGTGAAGTGTGAGGATGGATGTCCCACCAACTACATTGGTTGGTGGTTGCGCTAATTCGTGAATTAATAGAAGTTAGAATTCATGGACTGGCAATCGAATTGAGTCCCAGTGCCTGAAAAGTATACGAGCTTACCTTGTAACCTGAAGGTCTTGTGTTCGAACCTGGGTGGTGGGTGCGTACTGCTGATGATTCCCAAGCACCAGGATGAAACAGATGGCTGTCCAGTACTCCCTGTGGCTGGTTTTCAATGGTTCTCTAACTGTATTCCAATTGTAAGACTCTATGAGTTGAGTCACACCGAGTACACCACATTGATGAGCTCGACCCTAAACGAGAGAAATGGTCGACCGTGTGTCAGTGTTTAGGTCACCTCGATCTGACTGGCGACCAAGTAGTATGCAACTACTTATTTCAATTAATAAGTAGTATACAGTTCTGCACAAATACGCATGCATATTGCGGTGATCTGAATAGTTTGATATTCAAAGGAAACTATGATGAAAATGTCACCTTCTCGAACTGTGTATAAATTGGAAATTGTGAATTCGATTTATAAATCATATGTGGTCGAAACCAACTGCAACATAGACTCACTCACTCTCCGTCTCCCTTTCTTTCTCTCATCATCCTTCACATTTTAAGGAAGTTTTGCTTAGTAAACTTCGCAAATACTTTGATTGGACATTGGTAACTAGTGTGATTTGTCTAGTCCTTTCATTGATGCAGACTGAATTCTATCAGTCAGGTTTGCGGTGTGGCCACCATTCTTGGTAGCTCGTTATCCTTCAAAGTTGTTGATTTTTTTTCCTTCACATTCCCCAGTGGAACATAGGGCTTCAACCTGGAGGCTTGAAGTTTCTGTAGCAGTGTTTATTTTTTACAGGATGTGGTTGCTAGCCTCATGCCCAACCTTTCCTCTTTACCAGAATTATTTCTGGCTCAGCGAGGTAAAGGAGTGTGTCGGCCGGGGATCGAACCCCGGACCATGTGCACGGTCGGCGAGCGTCCTAACCGCTATGCCACCGACGGTAAAGTTGTTGATGCGCCTTGCTAACTGAGGAGTGACAACTAGCAGGAAACCAAGGTGGTTTCCAAGGTTTCCTGTGGCCGACTGCCTCTAACCATCCAATATCATCAAATAAATGTGAACCATAATACCAAGCCACTTAGAATGGTGACCACATTGCAAACCTGAATGATAGAATCAGTCTGCACAAAACAAAGGACCAGACACATCACACTAGTTACTAGTGTCCAATCATAGAATCCAATACAGTCCTACAGGAGGTCAATCACGAGCCCGAATAGCTCAGTGGTAACATCTCTGACTGCAGCACTGGGTGACGCGGGTTCGAATCTCAGAAGGGACATGAGTTTTCCTTCAAGATTGCAGATATCCCTTGTTGACTGGGGAGTGCCAGCTAGCACGAAGCCTAGGTACAAGGCTTCCTGTTGCTGATTGCCTCCAACCATTTAAACTTCCCAAATCACAATATTAGTTAGTATTAAATATATTTTTTTTAAAAATTACCTCCATAAGATCTTTGATGTAGGGCGTCCAACGAGACATTTGATATCTTGGGCCATCTTCACGTTGACGTCGATTACCAGGTAAATAAGGCTGGGGAAGTTTTCGTCGACCAATACTCTGCAATTACAAAAATTACAATGAATAACTATAATAAACTTAAGGATAGACTGTTATGCCTGCAAACTACTGTGCAGAAAAAAATTATATATATGTGGACGATACTTGTATCTTCAATAATAATAAAATCGATGCCGACGTCCTTCTCCAAAAGTTCAGTATGGCTAACTCACAAACTGAGTTCACATATAAAAAGTAAAAAGACAACACCTTATCACTCAAAAAATAATATTTAAAACATTCCTTGCCACAACATTGTGTTTAAAATTCCCCACCCCTTGTATACTAATTCCAATGCAGGTGAAGGATCATCTACTGAGTATGGCAACCTCAATGTGTATTCAATAAATTTAACTGTTCTCACGAAGGGTGGGTAATTGCATAGGTAGAATGACTCGAGTACGGCCAATCTACCTCCATTTCTACCTGCATATTTGTTGCACAATTGGTTCCTGATAGGTTGCTTCGTTCGTTCCCAGAGATCTTTTACTATTGCTGATCTTTTCTGGCCGGCCATCTGATCTTGAGCGAAGTGATAAGTAAAGACAATTGTTGATGAAGGTGTGTAGTTCGTCCAAAGTGCCCTTTGTGACGTGGTGCCATGTCTCTGATCCGTATAGTACCACTGACGCCACATTGAAGTTGAAAATCCGGATATTATGGTCTTTTTCATGCTGAGTGCTGAGTGTTGATCTCCACACAGACTTGAGAGTAATGAAAGCTTGCCTCGCTTTCCCCATGTTCCTCGCTTTGATATCCTCATCAGTTCCGCCCGCCTGTAGTTGAAAGGATGCTTTTTTGTAGGTAGGTAGGTAGGCAGAGGAGGTTGCTGGCTGATTGTTGTCTATTGTTGTTGTTCTTGTTGCTGTTGGCCAAGAACCTTCATCGTCGCCTCTGTTTTCTCTATGTTCACCTGAAGGAAGTCCTATCATTGATGCTTCTTCTGCCAACTTGTTGCTTTTCGCTTACATATCTTCCAGTTTGTGGGAAATCAGACATTTATAGTCGGCAAAGTCCAAATCCATTTCATGCCTGTCTCCTCGTTACCCGCTGTGTGTATGTTGCACTATCCAGTCTACCACAATCATCAGGAAAATCATTGGAGATAGTAGGCTCCCAACTTCAATTCGAAGAAATCCGATGTTCACAGATACATACCAATATAAATGCATTTCAAGCCACTACTACCACCACCAACCTTTGCTGCTGAATTTCACCGATTTCAAATTTAAATCATAGAACATTCACGACACAAATCACATGAACTCATTCAGTTACGACATAGAACTTTGCATAGTGCATAGTGCGACAGTTTAAGCGTTGCTACACTGCATCATTTATCAAACAAAAGAAGGAACAGGAATAAGCAGAGAGGTACAGCAGAAGGACAGAAAAGTAATAGGGAGAAACAATAGGGTTTAATAGACATTAGAAATCACACAGTCAATACATTTGAGTCATTCAGAACAATGATTTTGAGCCAACCATATCACCAATTGCCTCCACAGCCACCATTGGTTCATTCTATTGTGAGGACCCCAACCAGACAAGCAGTCTACAGCTCCCTACGTGACTGGCAGGTTGGCTGGCTTAAACTAACTGTTGTGGATTTTATTGACTGACGAAGCCACGTTTTCGTTTGACCACCACTAGCCTTCGCTTTCCCAACCTGATCCATCCTCAGTGAGTCAGCTAACACTGCCCCTCGAGAAAGGCGATCGCTGGTTAGAGATGCATACATAACACATGTCCTAACCACCTCACTCAATCGGCGTAACTTCACAACCTCGTCTATTGATTTCCCCTCTCTACCTAGCACTCCATCAACGCCTAACCTCAATATTGCTCACTCTATTGTACCATTTCACACGGGAGATAGATCGCAGGCACCTATGATGAAAGACAACTAGCCAGCCTTTTCATGTCTTCCACTTTCAACACCCCTTTCTCACTCACAGCCATTAAGGGGGAGGGAGCGAACTGGTACGCAGTACATACGTCCATTGATCAATAGCCAGTTGGATATAACATCTACATCAGAAATGACGTAAGCTGTCAAATCCGTGTTGAAATTTCGTCATCAATCAGTTAGTTGATTAGGGAATGATGCAACTTCCCACAAAATAAGCGAAGTGTCCAATTAACATGCTCAGTTATCACTTCACTTGCTATCTTTTTCAAGCTAGGAGTCCGTGTTTTTCAGTTCCTGTAACACCAGCTTAGATTTGAGAGGACAAAAAGCAACACCAGAGTATGCTATGTGTAAAAATAACTGTGCATAATATACACGAGTCAATAACTCAAGAAGTGATGGCGCTATACCATGAATTGACAGGAGCTAGAATTCATGGGCTGAACAATGGATCCGGTTATGTCCCAGTGGCCTTGTAACCAGAAGGTCCTCGGTCCCAACTTCCTGTGATGGGTGCGTACTGATGAAGAGTCGCAAACTACATGGACGAAACAGCTGTTCAGCACTCCCAATGGTTCTCTAACCAACGTCAGCTCATGATGAAATCCTCCAACCAATCGAAATACAGTAGTCATTCACACAGATACACATATACAAAATATAAAGGATATTTTTTGTTTGTTTGTATTACACCAAATGACGACTTACAGCTCCAGTAGCATCTTGTATGCTTGGTATCCCTAAGTGTATCAAGTTGCGTATAATACAGGCTTGTGATGAAGGTATTTGAGCATGTTGTACTAATTTAGCTAAATTCTCTTCATTTATTCCACCACGTTGAACAACATACAACAGGATAACACGTAGTTTATCATAAGCTGATACTGACTGGTCAATTAATATTGGCACCATTGTACGCATATGATCTTTAACACGTTCACCTTCGGCATCTGTACCCATAGCTAAATCCTGTTGCCAAAAATAAAAAAAAGAAGAAAAAGGAAAATTGTTTTAGTTTTACAAAAGTATTGATTAGAAAAAAAACTTCAGGAGATTTAAATCACGTTAACTCGAGCAAAGTGCGTCAGTGGCACAGCAGTAGAGTGTTCACCGATCACACCTCATGTGGTCCGGAATTTGATCCCCAGCTGCAAACGCATTCCTTAATCACGCTAAATCGGCAATAGGACTGGTAAAGAGGGAAGGTTGGGCCAGCATGAGGCTGGCTAGCAACCCCATCTTGTGAAAAAATAATCACCATTGCTGCAGAAATTTCAAGTCTCTAGCTTGAAGCCCTATGTTCCACCGGGGACGAAAAGGAATTTTAAAAAACTCGAGATAAAAAGCAACAACACAGAAAAGGGGATACACACAAATAGGAATATATGTACTGCTACTATTGTGGTGAGCGCTGTCTGCTAGCCGAAATTGTAGACAACAATTGACGTCAGTATTTACGTCCCTAATCGAGGTCACAAGATAAAACAATAACAAAGCCTAACCTTGAGGAACTCAAAAATCAATCACAGCAGACTTAGCGTGGGCGGATACGATTAGCAGATATTTCACCGAACTAAGAAACGGCCACAAAGAGATGACAGAATAACCTTCAGCAGCAAAACAACTAATCAGAAGATTTTGCTTCTCTGCTAACAATAACGAATAATAATGTACACAAAAATATATAAATATCTGTTGATCTTCTTAATAAACGATCTGTTGCCTGACTCTTGTCTTCTGTCGTTACATTTGGTGTCGCTGTCTGCCAACAGATGGAAAGCCTATGCCTTAAAGTTTTTGATAGGGACGTATGGATCTTTAGCCATGGACTTCGAGGCTGTTGCGCAGTTGAGTGGCGTTCAAGACCCGTCAGCGATGAGGCTGTTACTTGAAACGCTGCTGCGAGGTCGGGCCAAAGCAGCATGTGAAAGTGTGATTATACGATATGTCATCGGAACAATGATACAACGCTATTTACAACCCTGCTCGAGAGGTACCAGATTCAATTCCTGGTACAGAAGCCTCGGGAATGACATTCATAGAATATATCCAAGCCACTGAAGCCGGTATTTCCAGATACTCCAAAAAAACACGGCTGCTGGTCCTTAGAACTAGTCACAAGATGATGTCATCGGATGCAAGCAATTCTACGCAGAAAGCGACGATCAAATAAGCGGAGTAGCTGCATATTTTAAGCTAAGAGAGGTCAGGTTTCACAGGTGAAGAGTAAGACAGTGTGTACCGAAGTATTTTAAACCCAACATATGGCAGTCAGGTTAACGTCACGCCGCCATTGAATTGACCTATGTCATCCTAGCTTTCACCACAAAGTTAAAGACCTAGTCCGTCACACAACTACCTAGATACAGAAAACTGTCGACAACTTCAAGAGGTTCACCCGTAAGGGTAATTGCAGATATAGGCTTCTGCCAATCTTGCAAAGCACATACCACACTTATAGACACTGATCGACAACTGATTAGGTGCGATTTGGGCGACCTGCATGTTATTGCATAGTGAAACGACATCGTCTGAATATTCGAGGTCGAAAAGTCTATCTCCAGGGAGCAGATCTACACCACCACTGCCACCACGCATGTCTTTCACAGCTGACTCCAGAATGTCATCGATGGTGAAGTTAAAAAGAAATGGAGAGATTGGACAACCCTATTTAACCCCGCTGTTGGTTGGGAACAATGATAATGGTTGGTTGTATGCCCTCAATCTACCTGAGGTGTTTCTTTGTAGGGCTTTCAAGATGTTAACAAACTTCTCTCTAACAGACAGTTCCAGAGCACGGTTCTGTCCAACGAGTCGAAGGCAGCCCTAATATCAAGAAACACAACGATTGTTGGTCTGCATTTCACTGTGAAACACTAAGTTAAAACAGCTCTCCTTTTTTAAATTCATTATGATTATTATTATTATATAATTATAAACGATACTACTCATTAAGACAATAATTGCTTACCTGTTCAACTTTACACAATTTATTAGCATGATTTTGATACGTTTGCATACAATCTTCAGCTAAATGAAAGTGGGTTGAATACATGGATAGCTCTTTTTGATACTGTGGCATTTTTTTCAACATTTGACTTAAATCACGCATTGTTGTCTTATCACCAGCACTAACCATACGTTTGTCTTCAGCGAATTTCTTCAACTTGCTTGTCACCTACATGGGAAACAGGGGAGTGAGGGAGGAGCGAAGAGGGGGTGGGAAGAATAAAAGACAAATAACCTTTAGATAATAGAATTTTTAGGGATTTTGGATTAATTCCAATTGTTAGATGATCAAGTGTCACTTTCCAGGAATCAGTTACTCGCCCCCTATGACATTGGTTGGTGGTCACGCTAGAGAGTTGGCAGAACTTGGAATCCGCGAACTGGTCACTGAATTGAGTCCCTCCTGTGGCTGTGTGAATGGTCTACGAGCTTGACTTGTAACCGGAAGACCCTGGGTTAGAGCTCCAGTTGGTTCATACTGCTGAAGGGTCCCAAGCTAGAACGAAACAGCCACCCACTAGATCCAGGTTTTCCAATGATTCTCTAACTGATATGGAAACTCATGTTTAAGCCTGTTAGATTACAGTCATGCACCAATCTTACAACATGAATATCAACCGCCAGCTCCCCGATGGCTACTTGATGAATTTCCTTGAGATGCTGCAGTGGAAATTCATGACCAGTGGAGTCCACCCACCATGTCATCAAGGTGAATTGGATTTTCATCGAAGACATTGGTGTGGTCAGCGTTATATAGCACGGAGTTGACAAAATTACAGTTCATGGGTGGCTGAATAGTCAATCAGCTTGGTCTCATAACCCGAAGATCCCCGAATTCGATTCCTGGCGGGATCATGAGTACACACACTGTTTAAGGGTCCCAAAAGTAGGATGAAAGAAACAGTTGTCCAGTGCTCTCTCGTGGTTTTCAATGATCTCTCTTGCTAGCTGTTGTTGGTTTCTGACGAAAATCTAACCATTGAAATAATGTTTAGTTTAATAATACTCATTCAAAGTTTATTAAGAACCAGCATTGACTGTTGTTACCCAATAGTGGAGAATGCTAGTTGATTGCTAAGTAAGTATACTTGCGCATGCCACAAAACTTTATATTAAATATGATTCCCCGCTTACTGAACCAAGCTGATAAATGTTTTCGAATGATTCGACGAAGCTTCCTAATCATAGGCTCTCTATACAACCTGAACTACAGGAAAAGTAAAAACAGTATATGCATGAGGAGGAGTTACGAATGCATAAAACATCTTTCAGTTTTTAAGGTAAACATTGGACGGCTACCGAATGATAAGACCAGATGTGTAGATTAAAGTCTTCTTTATCGCTCTTGTTATGACTTTGAGATAGAATCTCCGTAAGAATATCTCCCATGAATTGTAGGTGTAAAAATAATAGCATTTTTCTCCAGCATTTCCAGCTCATGCCCCCAACTACTACAACCTTTGCTGGCTTTTATAAACATTTCGTTGGATATCCATTTTCACTAAGAATATCCCTAGAGTTCTTCCTCTACACAGTCCTCGGAGCAAGCTGACCTCGCTCTAAACACATACCACCTGACTAAGCTACGTCTATATTTCATTGGTAAAAAGCTGAGGAAGTGTGGAGAAACTGAGCTTTGGTTTCTCCAGTTTTCTAAATTCCCAAAGAGGAGACAAAAGTTACTTGAACATTTGCGCCTTTTAGTTTTTAATTATCCCCTTGGTTGGAAAGTTGCATCAGCCAGTGCCAACGGGTTGATGGTTGACGAAGTCCCAGCACGGATACAGAATGCTTGTTTGGCATTCACTTGCCAGTTTACGCCGTCTCTGAATTAGTAGGCGTGATATCCAGCTATCGACCAAATGACATGTGTACTGCAAGGCAGCGGTCCGCTTCGTCCTCCTTTATGGCTGTGAGTGAGACATGGCCATTGAAACTGGGAGAAATGAGAAACCTGGCTAGCTGTCTTTCATCATAGGTGCCTGCGTTCTATCTTCCGTGTTAGGTGGTAAAACAAAGTGAATAATATTGAGTTTAGGCGTTGATCGAGTGCTAGGTAGAGAGGGGAAGTCAATAAATGAGGCTGTGAAGTTACATCGACTGAGTGAGATCGTTAGGACATGTGTTACGTATGCCTAACCAGCGATCGCCTTCCTCGACAATGGGCAATGTTAGCTGATGAGAAAGGGTCAGGCTGGACAACAGCCAGTGGTGGTCAAACCAAAACATGGCTTCATTAGTTAACGAAATTCACAAGAGTTAGTTTAAGCCACGTGGGAAGGTGTAGACTGGTATCCTGGTTCGAGTCCGAGGGATGGTAAGAACCAATGGTGGCTGTGGAGGCAATTGGTGATATGGCTGGCTCAAAATCCTCGATCTCAATGGCAGAAGTAGATGTATCCACTCCTTGTAACTTATAATACCCAATAGAAACATTTTGTTCTTCGATATTACTATTCCTTTTGTCCCATATCTCTGTTTACTGTTTCTATTTTGCATTTCTTTTTACTTTCTTCTTCCCTGGCTTTGTATTCTGAATGAAATGTGGCAACTCGATCTACTGCACATAGGTTCTATGTTGAAACCAGTTGGTCAGTCAGTCAGTCAGTCAGTAGCGGATTTCACTTCATGAGTCAACCGATTTTTTCATTGAGTAGTTTGAGCAGGAAAAAAAATCAATTTTCGGTGCTATTATAGTTAGCCAAAATACATCTTTTATAATGATTTAACACACTGATGCTAATTAGTGTGATAGGTGCTACAACGAACCTGATAGGATTGTAAAGCGTCTATTTAAGATGCCTACTACTGACGTTGATGATTATAGGCGTCATTAAATAATCAAAGAAAAAAGAGCACGTGCATCAACCGAAAGGCTAAATTCTCTGCATTTTAATTAACTACAACTGTAATATCGCAATTTTTCATGATTATTACTAAGCGCTTTAGTCATCGGAAGAACATAAAAGCTGGAGGCTTTACGTAAATAAAGAAACAAAACTTACTTAGCCGCTCTGTTTTTTTACTATATTTCTTATGAGTTTGTTTATAGGAATTCGATTTGTCTCAAGTTCAAATCACAAATTGATATCAGTTAGAGAACTACTGAAGACCAACTAGGAAGTAATGAACAGCTGTTTCGTCCTAGTTCTACAGACTAACTCTTCAGCAGTACCCATCCACTGGGTTTCGAACCCAAGACCTGACTGTTGATCTGATGTTCATTGGTGAATGACTGGCTACAGGATGAAGTTGACTGGAGTTCTAGTGAGAAGTCGTGAGCAGTCACGCGTTTAAAATCATGAAATGGTAAAAGGTGGAATTTATTTATTATCCTCTCAAATGACTGGTGATAATAATATCTTCCGTTGAGTCACTGAATTACTCGCCTTCTCTGACGTCAAATCCTTCTATCTCCCTTCTATTTGATATTTTTATGCCGATGAACTTCTCTCTACTGATAAAGCTTATCAGTAGCACACGCCACAATATCATCGGTGAACTGGCTTCGTAAGCTCTAGTCTATTTAGCCTGCTTGAATATTTATTTTTATAACCATGTGCAGTAGTCTTTAAATAACTCTTATCATATTAGATATTTTCCAAATTACCAGTTATTATTCTTAGCGGTACTACTAATATTACTATTGTTACTATGGTTACAACAATAACCAATTATATATTATATATACATATATGTATATATATATATATATGTATATATATATAAAATTTACGCCCAATTTATCCTCTCATTGGCAGGCACGTATGCCTGATCGATTTATGTATATTTAAATGTGTATAGTGTACAGTTATCGGAAACCAATGACTCCTATGAACATGTAGGATAAGCTATCACAATGTTGGATGCCTAATCAATGTGTATTTATGAATTCCTCAGCTACAGTGGAGCTAATACTGTGATGAGAGCTGTCTGCATGCCAGACGCTGTAGATAGCAATTTACGTCAATGTTTACGTCCCGAATCGGGTCATGAGAGAAAACAAGAACAAAGCCTAACCTTCAGGAACTCAACAACTAATCACAGCAGACTTAACGTGTGCAAATACGATTCGTAGCTATATGGCCTGACTTTCTGAGAAACGGTCACAAGCAGTACAGAATAATTTTCAGCAAGAAAACAACCAATCAGAAGAGGTTGCTTCTCCGTTAACAATAATGTACATAAAAATCTATAAATATCTGTTGATTTCCTCAATAAACGATCTGTTGCCTGACCCTTGTCTTCTGTCGTTACTATAGCTTTGTCGACTCTGTTCAGTACTTAACTATCCAAACGTAGTATTGAACAGTTACGCTCGAGGAGAAAAGATCCCCGACCCCGTGCAGTTTCATCTTGGAACACCACCTGATCGAGACTTTGGACACTAAGTGAACCTGAAAACCGATTTCAGAGTTATGTCTGTCTACAGAGTACGTAGAAATCTTGTCAAAAAAATTTACGAATTAAACTTCTAGAAACCAGTAGAAGGGCTAAGATATTATCCTCATGTTAAATCCTCATCGCTATGTACGGATGTTTGTTCAGTCACTGAACCAGTAGGGCGCAGCATGTCGGGTGTGAGAACAAATACTCGCCAACGATGACATTGGCTAGCAGTCGTGTTATGTCGTGAATTAGCAGAAGTTAGAATTCATGGGCCGACCATTGGATCGAATTGGGTCCCAGTGGCTTAATGGTCTACGAGCTCACCGGCCTTGTAAACAGAAGGACCTAGGTTCAAACCCTGGCGGTCGGTGAGTAGTTATGAAGAATCCCAAACTAGGACAAACCAGCTGTCCAGTACTCCCAGGTGGTTTCCCAGTAGTTCTCTAACCGATGTCAGCTCATGATGAAATCCTGTAACCAATCAATCAAATCCGTACTAACCAATACTTGAATATTTGATACATAATTTGTACTAATCCTAATATTTGTACATTTTATTATTTCCTCTTCCTTTCAACTCTTTATAACAGGGACTACCTCCACTTGACTCCCTTTCAATTTTTGTTGAGCTCTACTTAGGAGGATTTGGATTTCACCGACGATATTTGTCTAATTTCCCACAAACTGGAAGATTTGCAAGTGCAAAACAACAAGTTGGCAGAAGAAGCATCGAGTGAAGATAAGACTTCCTTCAGGTGAACATAGAGAAAACAGGAGTGATAAAGATTCCTGCCCGCCAACGGCTACAGCAACAACAACAGATAATAATCAGCATAAATGGGAGAAATCTGAAAGAAGCAACCTCCTTCACCACATAACTGGGAAACATTGTCGTTTTAACTACAGGCGTACGGAACTGAAGAGGATATCATAGTGGGGATCTGGAAAGTAGGGCAAGCTTTCATTACTCTCAAGTCTGTGTGGAGATCAACAGAACTCAGAATGGAAATGAAAATAAGATGCCGATTTTCAACTCCAATGTGAAGTCAGTGCTACTATACGGATCAGAGACTTGGCGCACCACGAAGGGCACTTCGAACACTTCGAACTACACATCTTCATCAACAGCTGTCTTCGCTCAATACTACTCAAGATCAGATGGCCGGCCAGAAAAGATCAGCAATAGTGAGGGATCTTTGGCAATGAGCGAACCAACCCAGCAGGAACGAATTGTGTAACAAATATGCAGAAGGAAATGGAGGTGGATTGGCCATACTCTGAGAAAACAAACCATCAAGTGACATCACACACAAAGCCATCGCTCGAGTGGGACCCAATTGGGAAGCGGCGAGTTGGTGGTCAGTGCGAGGGTTTTTGACATGGAGGAAGTGATGTGAAGAGGAGATGAAGGCATGTGGAGAGACGTGGAGCTAGGTGATGAAAACATTGGCAGAGAATCGAACGCAATGGAGACGTGTGGCTGTAGTCCTATGTTCCTCTATGAACTAAAGGAGGCAATAATATTAATTTTGGGACAAGCAATTTTCTTTTTTATTTATTTTAGTTTCTAATCACAGTTAGTGCTTTCTCTATCAGGTAATAACTATCCGAAACCTACAATTTGAATGACACATCTTTAGAAACATTCCTTTCGTTGCTATGAAAATGTGATATATGTACTGACTGACTGACTGACTGGTTTCAACAAGGAACTTTGAACAGAAGAGCAGCTGTTCAAGTTGCCATATTTCATGTACCACATAAGGGAAAACAAATGATAGAGGGAGAGAGAGGGGGATTCAAAAGAACAATAATCAGCAGAATAGTAAGGGAAAAAGTACACCATCGTGAAAAAACTGTAAGGCTTCAGTGTACATAGCAGATCACAAAGTGCGAATGCATCTGTGTCATGTAGAAGGATGAGTTTGTGCCAAATCACCAATTGCTTCCACAGCCACCACTGCTTCTTAACATCCCGAGTACCCCAACCACTATAGCAGTCTGCACCTCCCTATGTGACTGGCTGGCTGGCTGGCTTAAACTATCTGTCACACATTTCATGGACGGATTTCAAGTTTTCATTTGACCATCACTAACTCTTCCCCAACCTGGTCTTATGTCAGTAAAATTAAAATTAAAAAATGTCAGTCAGCTGACATTTTCCGTCGAGGAAGGTGGTGGGTAGGCATGCCATCTAACCATCCCTAACCATCTCAGTTGATGTGGTTTCAAAATCCCATCGACTGACTTTTCCTCCTTACCTAACAGTCCACTGACGCCTAACCTCATTATGACTCACTTTATTATACCACCCAACACGCAAGATAGAACTCAGACACGTATGATTAAAGACAACTAGTGAGCCTTTTCATATATCTTTCATTTTCTCAATGGCCATATCTCACTCACAGCCATAAAGGAGGACACAGAGAACTGGCGTACAGTACACATGTCCTTTGATCGATAACCAAGGCGGATAGCATGTCAACGCGAAAGATGCTGTAGGTTGACAAATGTCACACGGAAGCCTTTTGTATCTATGCTGAGATTTTTTTATCAGCAACCCAAGGGGCTATATGTTAAACAGGTAGTCACGTCAAGAATATTAAACATGGGATGTTTACATTCATGAAAAAGAATATAAAAAATATACTGTATACATACATACCTGTTGTGAGACAACTGCAATATGCTGATGACGTAGTTCGCACCATAATTCATCAGTCTCATCTAAGATGATTTCTTTGACACGTTCCTCAGGACCTGATGTATTGATGTAACTGTATTGATCAAAACAAAGAAAATCATTCTTTATTCCTGTTTACATAATTTCTTTAAAAAATATCTCTTTATAGGCCTATACTTCTTCTATTGTATTCTAAGTATTGTTACAGCAATACGTGATTTTCAGTCCATACGCGACCAGGAACCAGACTAGTGGCGAACTAATCCATACCGTCGGTGGCACAGTGGTAGTAGAGTACTTGCCGATCACGCCTCATGTGGTCCGGGGTTCGATCCCTGGCCGCCAACGCACTCCAAAAAACCTCGCTCAGCCAGTAACAAGACTGGTAAAGAGTAAAGGTTGGGTCAGTATGAGGCAGGCTAGCAACTCCATCCTGTAAAAATAAACACCACTGCTACAGAAACTTCCAGCTGGGGGCTTGAAGGCGCCCTATGTTCATGTTCCACTGGGAACGTGAACGAAAAAAATTCAGATGGCAAATTGTAAGAGTAAGAACCTTTAACACAAGAAACACGACTAATGCCAAAATCTCCCTAGAAACCTGATACATAGATTAATTCGCACGTTAATAGATATCTAGAGATGAATTCAAAATAAATTACATGATCAAAAAGGTCAAATTTCAGATCGAAGAAATATTATCAGTTCCAATCCAAGCGAATGAGATAAGAAAATAATTTGACAACAACCAACCATAATCAAGGTCACCAGGGATGGTGATGATCCTTATTTCAAGTTTGATCACGGGCTGATTTCAGTTAGGGAACCATTGAAAAGCGTCAAAGGGTACACTGGACAGCCGTTTCGTCCTAGCGCTTGGGAGTGATTCTTCAGTAGTGCGTATCCACCAGGATCCCAGCTAAGGACCTACTGGTTACAAGAGCTTAGCTCGTAAGTCATTCACCCAGCCACTAGAACCCCATCCAATGGCTAAGCCATGAATTCAAACTTCTACCAATTTGTGATTTTAGTGAGACCACCAGTCAGTATCATCATCGATGAGCATTTGTCGACAAACCCATGATTTGATGGAGCCCACTCCTCACTAGAACGCCAGTTAACTCCGTCCTGTAACCAGTCAGTAGACAGCACCATTTATATATAGAAAATATCTAAAGCTCACTTGATTCTGACAAGAGACATGGCTCATTCTCATTGGCTTACGCATTTCATCTAGCTATTAGCCAATGAGTCCCACGCACGAATCAGGCTTCACCTACTTCCACCTGGTGGGGGAATGAACAGTATCATAAGTATCCGCACAATAAACGTGACTCATAGTCCTAAGTTCCAACTGACTGACTGACTAACTAACTTGATTTTGAAGTTGGCGCGGGAATTGTCACCCAGAAGGACAATAGAAGCTTCGCAACTTAGCGAACACAACAAGACCATAAACGTTGCACACCTGAACTAAAACTGTCCAATTTATTTCAAGATTTTCAAAGTGAAATCTTGATTACAGTGCATTTAGGGAATAGTAAGACAAGGCTGCCTACTGTCGCCGAGGATATTCCCAATCCTCATAGACTAAATTATGAGGAACGCCGTACGCAGGGGGGAGGCGAGAAGACAGGAATACGTTGAATCGATAAGAAGACTCTAGAAAATCTGAACTTCTCAAACGATTTATGTCTAACGCCAAATAATCTCGAATACTTACAGGCGAAAACCAACAAATTGGTAGAAGCCGCCAGTGACGACAGCACTTAAAGTGAATATACATAGAGAAGATGGAGATGATGATGGAGATCACCAACCAACAGACAACAACAACAAGCACCAATCAATATCAGTGAAAGGCATCACCGTTTCAATTACAGGAGACACGACAGATGAGGATTTCAAAACCGGCCACGACTGGAAAGCCAAGGCACAAATTAATTACTCTGAATTCAGATTGCAGATCTTCTGAACTCAGCATAAACATCGAAATTCGGATCCGGGACACCAATGTTGAAATCAGCCAGTTCTTCTATATGATTTAGACACACTTGGTAGACGCGACACCAAAAGCATTTCCAACAGGCCATTGTAGACTTACATCAACAGCTGCCACCTTCGCTAGCTGACTCCATAATGAAGATCAGAAGGCCAGCCAGAAAAAAGTAGTAGCAAGAAACGCTAGCAGATAACGAACCAATTAAAAACCTATTGCTGAAAAAAAAATATCACTACGAAAGTGGACAGACGCTAAGGAGACCGTAGGAAGACATCACGCGTCAGGTTGTCACTCAAGTGGAACAGAGAGCTGGCAAAATGTCGGTCGGTTTTCGACATACAACTTTGCACATATGTGCGGCAGTTCAAGTCGCCACACTCCATGTAGCACACAAAGAAAGAGAAGAAGGTAGAAGAACTGTATAGTATAGACAGTAAACAGAGGTGTGAGACAAAGGTATAGTAGTAACGAAGAACAAAACAGTTTTATTGGAAATCATAAGTCACAAGGAGTGGATGCATCTGCGCCACTGAGAACGATTTTGAGCCATATCACCAATTGTTTCCAACCATTGGTTTTTACCGTCTCGAGGACCCCAACCAGGAAGTCTACACCTTCCTACGTGGCTTAGACTAACTGTTGTAGATTTCATTGACTGGTGCCATGTTTTCGTTTGACCGCCAATAGCTCTTTTCCAGCCTGACCCTATATCAGCTAACATTTCCCGTCGATCGAGGAAGGCGATGATTAGGCATACCTAATACATGTCCTAACCATCTCAGTCGATGTAATTTCACAGTTTCGTCGATTGATTTCCCCTCCTTACCTAGCACTCGACGCCTAACCTGAATATTGCTCACCTTATGATACCATTTCACGCAGGAGATGGAACGCAGACACCTATGATCGAACACAGATAAGCTTTTCATGTCTTCCGCTCTCAATGGCCAGGTCTCACAGCCATAAAGGAGGGTGGAGCGGACTGCTGAGCAGTACACACGCCCTTTGGTCGGTAGTCGGATATCGCGTCTACGCCAGAGATGGCGTAAACTGGCATATGCGAAACTAGCCCTCTGTATCCGTGCTGAGATTTCGTCGGAGATCAACCCGTTGGGGCTGATGGTACTTCCCAAGTAAGTGAAGCGGTCAAAATGCTCTACCACTTCACTTCCTATTTGTAATCTAGGAGTCGGTGTAGTCCAATCCTATAACATTATCTTACATTTTACAGGGGCGAATCGCATGCCAAACATACGAAGACTGCTGCTCAAGGTGTTCAGAAGACTCTGGATTTTGTCAGCGTCCTCGCCTAGAAGGACTATATCGTCCGCATATTCTAAGTCAACGAGATTTTTCCCTGGTAGCAAGTCAATCCCTGAGTCGCTGAAGTGAGTTAGGATTAAGTGCATTAGTACATCTATGATGAAGTTGAATAGGAATGGGGATAATGGGCATCCTTGACGGACGCCACTAGTCGTCACCACTTCAGATGACAACTCGCCATAAGCCCTCACCTGGCTGCATGAGTACGAGTAGAGTGCCTTAATCAGTGCAATGTATTTTCTCGGCATTCCCTTTACAGCCGAGCATTGCCAGAGAACCTCTCGGTCGACAGAATCGAATGCCGCCTTTATTGTTGTTAGAAGAAGAGATGACAGCTTATGGACAGTCGTGGAATCAGCAAAAAGAGAGAACTACAGGGAAGAAGATGAAATAGAGATGTTTCACTCAGAACCCAAGGAAATAATAATAAGTAATGTGAATTATTTTTTAATTTTTTGATTGCAGCTTGATACCACACAGTATTTTCAGTACAAGTATGGAATTTTCAGCATGGATATCGGTAGCCAAAATTTTGCAGGCCGACCATAGATATCGGGTGTGCGTCGGCAGGGAACCGAACCCCGGATCATGTGCATGGTCGGCGAGAGTCCTAACCACTGTGCCACCAACGCACATCTCATCTATAATCAACAGTCGGAAAAATGCATAGTTTGCGGACAGCACAAATGTTCTTTATACAAGTGAAATATATTAAAATGAAGTAATAGGTAATAAATTTGATCACGAACCGACATCACAGCTCGAGAACCATTCAAAACCATCAAAGAGTACTGATGGTACTGCCTCGTCTTAGTTTGGCATTCTTCATCAGTACGCACCCATGAACCCCAACCCACCAGAGATTGAACTCAAAACCTCCAGTTGACCAAACAGTCAGTGGGACGAAATCCGATAGCCAATGAATTCGAACTGTCTACCAATTCACAATATATATAGATCCCTATCACCAGTCAATATCATTATCGGCGAGTATTTATTTGTTCACACACCCGTTGTGAGACTTGGTGGACCACCCTTCTGATCACGATTTATCACCAGAAAAACCTCAGGTAACTTCACCCTGTGTAATCACAGTTAGTCATTGATGAGTATTGGATTAGTGTTTATAGGTGTTCGGCTTTCAGGGATTTGATTTACTGGAGGAAGTCTAACCATCAAAATGAATTCCGTTAGAGAACACCATTGAAAAACCACCAGAGAGGAGCACTAAACAGATCTTTCATCCTTACAACCTGAAATATTTGGATTCGTTGTTCTGTAGGATTGTGCCTGCATACTGCTGAAGAACCCCCAAACAAACACTAGGAAGAAACAGCGGTCTCCAATACACACTCATGACTGTCCAACTGATTTCAGTTCCCTATCAAATTTTAAATCAATCAAACGCCTGAATAGCAACATTTGAAAATAAACATTAAGGTGTTTGTATTTTTTTTATTACAGCTTGATTCCACACCGTATTTTCAATACAAGTATGGAACTTTCAGCATGGATATCGATAGCCCAAATTTTGCAGGCCGACCAATTGATTTCAGGTGTGCGTCGGCTGGGGATCGAACCCCGAACCATGTGCATGATCGGCGAGAGTCCTAACCATTGTGCCACCGACGCACACAAGTCGGGCTTAGTTAAGACTAACTTATGACAGGCAAACTATGACTATATTCAATCGAATAACATTTTAGATCCAAAATTATTCTAAATCAATATTCTAGTAACACACCAAAACATGTCAACTATTGGAATTACTCTAATTTTTACCTTGGTAGGTTTATTATTATTATTCCTATTATCATTATTAATTATTATTCGTTCCTTCAGTTCTACGCAGACAATAGAGATTAGATAGTACATTTCTATGTCTCTTTATTTCCATCATAGTTGTTCCAATGGAATAGACCTTAACTGACTTGAGCAACTTAGGGATTGACTTGTTACCACCGGCATATGAATAACCTCGTTGACTTAGAAATATGCAGATCATATAGTCCCCCCCCCCTCCTTCTGGGTTAAAACGCTGACAACATACAACAGAGTCTTCTGAACACCTTGAGCTGAGCAACAATCTTCAAGTGTTTGGCGTATGATTCGCTCCCTCTGTCAAATGTAAGATGATGAGGCTACAGCACTGGACTACATCGACTACTCCTAGCTTAAAAGCAGGTAGTGAAGTGGCGGTTGAGCGTATTGACCACTTCACTTACTTGGAATATGGCATCAGTTCCAACGAGCTGATTGTTGACGAAATCTCAGAACGGATACAAAAGGCTCGTGTGTTACGCATGCATATCTAGCCAACGCCTTCTTCGACGGCCAATGTTAGCTGAGATAGGATTAGGCTGAAAAACAGCTAGTGGTGGTCAAACCAAGGCATGGAATCAGTTCATGAAATCTTTGATGGTTAGTTTGAGCTACTCAAGGAGAAGTAGGCTTCCTAATCGGGGTCCTCGAGATTCTGTGAACCAATGAAGGCTGGAGAATGAATGGCGGCGCAGATTCATTCACTACTCGTGATTTCCCATATACATTCAACCCTAATATCCCCCCATGTTACGATACTTTCTCCCTCACATTTCTGCTTATTGTTGTTTTTTATCGAATCTCCTTTCTCCTCTCTCTTGTGTCTTCCATTGTGTGCTACATCGAGTGTGGCGATTCGAACTGGTGCACTTCTGTGCAAAGTTCCATTATGTTGGAACCAGTCGTCAGTTAGCCCTCCACTCTATTCTCTGTCAACATTTTCAACTGGCTCTACGACTGCCTGTAAGTGTTCATTTCCCACATAATCTCCTTCAATGTCACCCTCAGATACCAAACGACCAACTCGTTGTTTCCCGTTCGGGTCGCTGCTCACTCAATGATCTCATGTGTAATAACTTATTTGAGGGTGCCCCCCTCAGGGTGTATTTTTAATCCATCGCCAATTCCTAATTCTCTTTCTGTTTCAGGTACCCCCCATGAAAAAATCAAACTTCATGGTGTGGGCAGCCGGGAAATGACAACCGCCCACGCACTTCCAAAAGAACACGATGCTCTCCTGATTAGCGCCTACCTTTATCTATACTAAATCATCTTGCTTTCATCCCACTGTTAATGCTATTCCATAGGCAGGTTCCCCACCCTCTTCTCATTCTGTGACCAATAATAGCGATGAGAGCCAGAAAAACACTTTATTATTATTATTGTTATATATCCTTCACGTTCCCCAGTGGAACATAGGGCTTCAAGCTAGCGACTTGAAGTTTCTGTAGGAGTGTTTATTTTATAGGATGGGGTTGCTAGCCCCATGCCCAACCTTTCCTCTTCACCAGCATTATTTCTGGCTTAGCGAGGTAAAGGAGTGCGTCACCCGGGGATCGAACCCCGAACCATGTGCATGGTCGGCGAGCGTCCTAACCGCTATGCCACCGACGCTGAGAAAAACACTACCGATAGTCATTAAGAGCCACGATGCCAACTTCATATTGGCGCATTTAACGTCAGGAGAACAGGTACCTTTAACCCGAACTCTGGCATCTTAAACCACGAATCTGTTGTGCTTCGGAGACACGCATACAGGACCCATGTGTGGTTACCCCATCTGGCCAACATAGTGAATCTGCAAAATTCACCTTACGGGTGCCAGGAGATTGTTCAGCTAGCTCGCACGTGGAGGGATAACAGTGAGCGCTAGGACAGAAAACTCCCTAGCCGACTGGATCCCATTGGATAGTCATTTGTGTGCTATCTGCTTGAACGGACCCATAAGAAGATGGAAGGACTGCATAATCTCCGATTATGCCCCAAATCAACTGGAGTTCGGACGAGACGAAGAATGAGTTCTATCAAAAAACTGTTTAGATCGCCGCGAAAAGAATAACGCTCAGGTATAGTATAGTCGTTTTAGCAGGCAATTTCAATGTCCAAGTAGAGGAGTTGTGTCAGCCTACGAAGTATGTTGGTGGCACCTAGGGAGTCCTTTGCCGACGAACCGACAACGGTGATCGCCTTTTACAGTTCTACTCAGATAATCATCTATTCCTGGTCAGTACTAACTTCAAACATAATGAGAGGCATTGTCTAACCTAGAGACACCTCCATCATAAAATCAACGATGGACTCAAATAGACCCCACACAGCGATTAGTTATCGTTGGCGACGGTAGATAGACGAATGATGTAGTTAGTAGTGAAATGTAAGTCTGCTAAAGAGGTAAAAAACAAAATAATAATAATTAAGAAGTGAGGCAACTTACCGGTAAACATCATTTTCAATTGCCAATAAATCATATGCCATGGCTTGAAATGTAAGCTCGTGAAGAATAGGCGAGATAGGATCAAATCCACGATCAAGTAGAATTAATTGACTTCGATCTTTTTGTGGACCCTAATGGGTAGATATAAAAAAAACATCTTTTTTTTTTCTATATGTGTAAAATTTGGCCACTGTGGTAGTGTATGTTATTCCATATTAATTTGTTTATTAGATATATCACACAGTCAGTGAAACAGTCTTGTTATTTACTGGATGACATTTCGAACACTCAGTAGCTTAAAAGTCACTCAAAATCTAGACTAACAAATTCTTATGAAAAACATATTATTAGTTTTGGCATTGTCAGTTTATATACACGTATACCAATAAATGTAGCTATAGAGGCAGTCAGAAACGAACTCATTTCTGACCAAGAAATCGAACTGAGGACGAAAGTGCCACTGAAGGACATAATTCTAGAAGTACAGCTATGCCTGACATCCACAGTATTTAAATTCCAAGGGAAAATATACAAACAAACTGAGGGAGTTGCCATGGGATCACCAATATCCCCAGTGATAGCAGATAAATTCATGGATAAATGGGAAAGCATAGCGATTGAAACGTTCACCCCCACCCCAAAAGTATGGTGGAGCTACGTAGATGACACATTCACTGTACTTAGAACACAAGATATAGATACATTTTTCGAACACATCAACTCGAAGGTAGAGGAAATTCAATTCACTTATGAATTGGAAAGTCAGGAAGGGGAACTGCCAATGTTAGATTGCAGTGTAGAAAGGAAAGAAGATGGGGAGTTAAACACGCTAGTGTGTGTGTGCGTGTGTTTACAGGAAACCCACACATTCAAACAGATATTTGGACTTCCGATCATCCCATCCTATGTCAATGAAAATGGGATTTGTTGAAATGTTGAAGTAGTAGAGCACAAAAACTAAGTAGCACCAAGGAAAATCTAAGACAGGAAATGAGGCATATGAGAGAAGCTTTGAAACTTAATAATTACCCTGATAAATTAATCAGGAAATATGTAGGGAAATGTAAAAATAAAATAAATAATGATAGTAGTGATAATAATAATAGTAACATGCATGTCAAACATGCACAAGATAATGACAACACCAACATTAAGGAATCTAAATCACTAGTGGTAATTCCATACAAGGAAGGAACCTCGGAAACCATACCGCGGAGAATTCTTAACAATGCAGGCAGTAATAAAAGTGGCTGACATTCAAACCAACCACAAACTCAATTAGAAACGAGCTTTGCCGATTAAAAAATCAATCCTGTGGAGCCTTTAAAATAGAACAGTTTAGTTTATCTAATACCCTGCCTGAGATGATTGTCAGGTCAAATACATAGGTCAAAGCAGTAGAACAGGTGCAGTCAGTCAGTCAGTTTAGAGGAGCATGAAAACCTAGCAAAATCTAGATTAATTGACTCGAATAAGATAAGAAATCTAGAGAATAGTTCAGCTATACCACTACTACTTGAAATTATACACAACCATACAATAGGACGGATGGGATAGGATGACAGTTTTAAAATCTAATGTAACAGGGTGGAAGGAGAGATTGATAACGGAAGCTTTGTTTATCGAATCAACTACAAACACGTGTAATAGGAATGATTCAACACCCGTTCCGAGGAAATCTGGAGAATTCTACTTCGCCTACGACAACAAATAGGAGAGAACAAAAAGATCTATAAAACTCAAGTTCCGAAGTCGTGTGATTACAACTGATGATATGATTATGAACAATAAATTTTGTTCGAAATTGCGTCATCCATTAAATAATCATACTGTTTCACAGACTGTGTGATATCTCCATCTAATAAACAAACTAATATATGGAATTAATTTTCATTATGTGCATTACCTGCCGCCTAATATTTAAATGAAATTGTATACAATACAGCAGTGAATTAACGCACTCGTCACAAGACAAACCAAAACAGTGAACATTATGCAACTACCACTTCTACTACTTACCTCACCCATTTGAGGATCATCAGCCTTGTAGGCATCCAGCTTTTGTTGAACTAACTGGGCGAATTCAGCATTCCTTTCAAACTGACTGAAATGGTAAAACATCAATAATAGTAACAATAATAATAATAACAATAATAATTTAAATAATCAAAAATGTTTGAATAAAGAAAGAACGAACATATTTGCGAACAGGACAATACGAGCTCATTGAAGCCTCTACATCCTAAATAAACCAAGCAGAGATGTAATCAACCCACAATGTAGAATCATGAAATGAAAGGAAGTTGTGTTTTAGTTGGGAAGTGCAACTGAATGAGGTCCTGTAGATCATATGCCACTGCGTAGCTCCTCGAGACGTTATCTGATACCAGGCTAAGAATTGACTGGCTGGTTTCAACAAATGGGTAGTAGTTCAAGTCATCACACTTCACTCAGAACACAAAGCCAGAGAATAAGAAGAAGAAAGTAAAAAGAAACGCAAAATAGAGACAGTAAACAGAGATGAGTCAAAAAGAATAGTAATATCGAACAACTATATAGTTTTATTGGGTATTATAAATCACAAGGCGTGGATGCATCTGCGCTAGCCACTGAGGACGAGGATTTTACGCCAGCCATATCACCGATTGTCTCCAGCCATTTGTGTTTACCGTCCCGAGGACCCCAACCAGACAGCAGTCTACATCTTCCTACATGGCTGGTTGGATGGCTTAAACCAACTGTTGTGGATTTCACTGACTAATGAAACCATGTTTTGGTTTGATCACCACTGGCCTTCTCTTTTCTAACTCAATCATCAAACTATCCATACTATAACGTAACTCTTTGTTACTACCGTAGTTTCGTTAACACCCAATTTTCTTGACCGTTTTTGTACTGCGTAACTCCACCCAAAAATTACTAATTCTCAACCAACCCCCTCCCTCCGCTCTTTAATTAAAATAACCCTAACCAATCGTATTTTGTGTTTGACAAACTTAACGTACAAATACATACAAAATAACCCTTTTTATATACATATTTGCGATTGTACAGCTAAAAAATAATAAATAAAATGAATTCACTGGTGAAAAAACAGACTCTTCGCTAAACACTACGTGTTTCCTTTTCATTCATAGCATGTATGGAAGGGGAGTATTCATGAATGATGAATAGAAAGAAAGAAAGAAAGAAAAAACAAAAAACGTCAACACCTTGTTTACAAAATAATAACAATAATAAATTATCTCTCAGGAGATAACCCCACTCACGTTCTATATCGAATGACAGGATATTCGCCTAATGTTGCACAAAGTGTAGCAATCTGTTCGGCTATACGTTCAAGTTGTTGTCCAGATCCTTGTTGTCTTGCTACAGGATTAAAGTAATACTGAAAACTCATCGGTGAATCCAATGAAAAAACTCGAGATTCAACGGGTAAAAAAGCCATATTGATTTCTTTTAATGTCTTTAAGAATATAGCTGAATTTGATTGACATAAACGATTGAATAGTTCATCTGGGCAAGCTGGAAAAAAAGAAAAGAAACGAAAAAAGGAAATACTTGAATATCAATGAGATGCTCACTGGCGACTGGCCCTATTAAGGTAGGTAGTTAGGTCCCTGGGGTTCTAGTGGGAAGCCGTGACCAGTAGGGTATAGCAGGTGGGGTTTGTGGACAAATACTCGCCAACGATGACATTGGCTAGCGATCGCGCTATTTCGTGAATTCAAGGGTTGGCCAGTGGATCGGGTTGGGTCCCTGTGGTTTAATGGTCTACGAGCTCGCCGGCCTTGTAACCAGAAGAACGTGGGTTCGAACCCTGGAGGTGAGTGCGTACTCCTGAGGAGTCAAAAACTGGGGGAACGAAACAGCTTTCCAGTACTCCAGTAGTGCAGGTTTTCCAAATTGTTCTGTAACCGATGTCAGCTCATGATGAAATCCTGGAACCCATATATATATATATATATATATATATATATATATACGTAAATTAACAACCAATTACGACAGTGGTTGCCAGGAGGGGATACAATTACATCATTCATGGAGAATTCAAATGAGTTCATTTCATACTAAAACCTGTTCTGGATATGCTGTCTAGAAGTAGACCACGAAGGCTTTTGCAATTAAATCAACCAGCTCAGAGAACATAACTAATTCAATACCATCCACTTGAGCTGCAAATCTCCAGTCCTTGGATACCAATCACATAAAACACCAGTAATACTTCTCCTACCTAGCCACTTCGAAATGATCTGAAAACTATTTCGCTAGTCTGAGGGCTAAGCTCATCAGCAGTCTGTGTACCTGGATGGAGTAACTCAGTTCAGACAGCTGAATGCGTTCAAACAATACGAATTATGGCTGACTACTGGCAGTTCGCAGTTTGCAATTTAAACAGTTCGAGGTGAAATTTTATTAGAGTTTCCTTCGGAAACCGAAAGCATTCAGATCACAGTATATATGCTAGATTGTTTTTATACTAAATATAACCTAATTTCCTAATCCAAGATAGTTCAATTAGGTTAATGTATGTGGAACGTTACTGTGATGACACACAGGGATCTAAGTTCGCACAATCTGTAGATGCTCCCATAAACGACTTAGTACGGCCGAGAGTAGGTAGACTTCGATCTTCCTCTCATGTGGTCACGTGTTTATATCCCTTATCAGGCAGGTCTTAACCATTGCCTTCACGTGGTAGGAGTGTTCTTCACTAAACTCAAAGGGAGAATGAAAATGTTTGCCGCTTACAGCCGGACTGGTGGACATGCTGGTCCACCTATGAGATCTGGAAAAAACTCTGATTTTGAATCCATGGTGTACATGGACTCCAGCATCTGACTGGATCGAATGGCGTATGAACCTATTTTGGTCACCAGCAAACATAAGAACATAGCTCCTGACACTGCTTCACTGTCTTGTGGATCAGGCCTCAAGTTAAAGGCTTTGGGTGGAGGGGGGCTTAGCTCGCTAGGACAACGATCTGTCCTCGTCTGGGCGTCCGAATAGTATCTCAGCCTTCTCACAAACTATGAGATTTTGTGTGGCACATCTTTTGGTGCCCATTATGGAAGCAAGTGTTTGTTTTAGTAAGCAATAAAAATCTGTAGACACAACAGGGTTAAGTAGAGCCTATAAGAGGAAAACTAGGCGAAACGCACCTATCCAACCGACACTAACTGTATTTCATGAAATAAATGAATCAAGTGCAATCTTTAAAATGCCCTTGGCAAAAATTTCAATATGTGTAGTAAGCGATTTACTCCTTTTAAATTTAAGATTGAGTTACACAATTGGTTTGCATAGATTTCTGGTTCAAGAATAGGCAGTAAAGTAATTATGTAGGCAGTCTATTTTGTTTATTTCAGAAGGTGAGCTGGCCGCAATGCGTTAGCATAAACACGAAAGGCTGGTTTCAACTTTATCAGCTTGTATCGTCTTTCGTGTTGGCAAAGTGTTCGACTACCCACCAAAGGGTCCATGTGATTTCCCCCCCCCCTCGCACCTCCCTTAGCAGTGTATGAAACACAAAATAACTCCATGTTTATATTCAAAGGTAACCTATATCCAATCGCCCAAGATGAGCAACGTGAGAAGTAACGTTGAGATCTGAGGGACTCTTAGCTAATAAAAGTCAGTTGACAAGGTTGTGGATCTTCAGCCACCTTCAGTGAGTAATAACAGCCAAAATAAGTATTACTTCGGGAAAAAAATTGGAGACAGTCAGACCGAAACATGACATCAATCCATGAAATGGCTGACCATTATTCTGAACCGCGTAAGGTGTAGGCTGTCTAGTTGGAATCCTTGAAATGCTACAAATCTGTTACATCGGAGTGTTACTGGGCTATGGGTTCATTTAACTTGACTAGATTGTGGCCCCAGAACACGAAACACTACAACCAACTGATCATTTGAAAATATCTCCCACACTGAAATCGACACAAAAGTTAGACTGGGAAAAACGACGACCGGAACAACAACGGAAACAGCCGTAATATCTATTATACAAAATACATGGTATATTATATTTACGAAACCTCAGGAATGTAATCCATATGTAAACAAATCAAAACATTCTAATGAGGCTATCATGTCAGTACATGCATAAATCATGAATTTACGGCTAGCACAGAAGCCTGTTTGTCCTAACAGAATCAATGGTTGGAGACTTGGTGATATAGTTCAATATGGTTCACGGGTGTACATACTGCCTTCATGAAAATTTTGATTACTATTACTTCTTTAACAAATAACCGCCTATCCCACACATCTTTATCTGTTGTAGTCTCACTTACCAGCCTTATTTTTAGATATGCTTGTTCGAAGTCTCGTTACCAAGATTGATGCACACATGTGTAAACTCTTATCTTGGCTAAAGTTCACTTACATACAATGAGTTTTGACGTTTAACTGTACAGTCGAGCCAAGAGTAGTGCATGTCCACTAAATAATGTCATTGAGATGGTTAATAACATTGTCCAAGAAAAACAGGCCAGTATGGATAAAAACAGCTGAATTCATGGTGCCAAAAAGTTCAATAACAAAGTGTCTTGTGGATTATGGACATGATATCAACACTGTCAAGTGATTCACTATTGTCAGTAGACAAAGAAACAGAAAGTTGCAATTGCAAATGCAGAGGCTTGTGCAATTCGAGTTTATAAACCAGATCTCTGTGTACAAAAAGAGATGGTCGTCACTCCAAATCTACCATGGTAATATATTTTACTTATTAACTGTTATTATCAACATTATTAACACCTTATTCTACCTATTATTATTCTTGATTCATTTAAAACTATCCTTTATCGGTTGCATTATCTTGACTCACTTCAACATTATTATTATTATTATTATTATTATTATTATTATTATGGTTACTATAACTGTTACTATTAATATTACTCTGTTTGCAGTTCTTGATGATGAATAACTGTTTATCTAAGTGATGTAATTGAAGCGTGATGCATTTCATCTTAATTTTAATCTGCCATACTTCCTTCCCCTTATCTATTTGAACATGACCTGGAAAACATTCGCACATGTCTTTCTGCATGATTAATTCAATGTAGTCTATTTGCTTATCAGTCTTATAGTCAATAGTATACATTCCGCCGGTTTGCAGAGTATTCAGCTGAAGAGTTCTACTGAAATTTGATGAATTCATTAAATCCTGCTTTATTAACCTACTTTGTTGCTTGTTTTGAATTCGTATCACGAGGTAAATGTTTCCAAAAAAAATTTATTTTATTTTTTTATTTTGATTTTTTTTATTTTGATTTACAGCTTGATTCCACACCGTATTTTCAATACAAGTATGGAACTTTCAGCATGGATATCGGTAGCCCAAATTCAGGCCGACCATAGATATCGGGTGTGCGCCGGCAGGGGATTGAACCCCGGACCATGTGCATGGTCGGCGAGAGTCCTAACCACTGTGCCACCGACGCACAGGATGAGTCGTTAAAACTATGCATCTACAGAAATTGAGATAGTGGAAAATATTACACACAGAGAACCACCATTTACCTTCATGTGGACATTTATTAATCTATCGACTGAACGAACAAACTGATTGAATTAAAACATTATTAATCTGTTTATGGATAAGATTTTATTTTGATAAATCACTGTTATAAAATTTATTAGGAAGATCGGTAAAGGCCAAAAGCGAAATAAAAATAATTGTGAAACTAGTAATGATAACATAAGACAGAATATAAGTCATCCACTGTTATACCATATAAGGAGGGGACATCTGAAACCCTCTCTACGTAGGACTCTTATTAAAGCAGGAATTAAAGTGGCATTCAAACCTACGAACTCACTCAGAGACAAGCTCTGTAGGCTAAAGGACCCTGTTGGTTGACCCAATTAGACAAAATAATATAATTTACAAAATACCCTGAAATGACTGTGAGGTCAACTACATAGGTCAAACTAGTAGGTCGAGGGTAGTCAGATTGTCGGAACATAAGAATTTAGCTAAAGAAGAGAAGATAAATAATTTAGAAAAAAGCTCAACAATTGCACTTCACACATAATAACACAACCACACAATATGGTGGGAGAGTGTTAAAATTCTAAGAAGTAATATAATTACATAGAGAGAGAGGGTGAATACTGAATCTTTGTTCATCGAGTCTACACCCAACACATGCAATAGGAATGACTCAATGCAAGTACCAGAATATGGAAGATATTACCGCCACTCAAATCATTGGAGGATAATAAATAATCTTAAAATTCTATTTCAATTCAAGCATAACACAACATTCTAACAAGTTACTTATTATGACTATAAAAACACTCGTCTTATTTCCCATCTGATTGTAATTGATCAATAACACTCATATTAATAATTCTGAATGTACATTATCATCTTATATTGATTTTTATTCCAATATCTAATCACTTCCACACATGTATATGAATGAAGGAAAAAAGTTGTGTGAGTAACTTGATATGATTATCAGTGGCAATAAATTGTGTTCAAACCGTGGTCATCCGTTAATATTACTGTATAACAACACTGTGTGATTTATCAAAAAAAAATCCTATCCATAATGTTATATTCTACCACAGTGCCCAAGTTTTATACTTATATTATCAATCTGCCTTGATATTTGGTGTGTAGGAAAATCCAGACTGCCTGGTTAAAGACCTTAATAGCGTAAATTCTTCCCGTGACAGCTTTATACAACATATCGCAGCAATTCCTTCCATTCATGCCCGCAGATTTCTGAATATCTAATTAATCTTGATGCTGCACTGCATATTTAACTTAGCATACTGTTCATCTTAATTCTTTGCATTCTGAATGATGCAGAGGGGTTAAAGCTTTTTTGAAGTTTCAGTAGCAGTGTTATTTTTATGAGGTGGGGTTGATAACTTCACGCTAAACCTTCGCTTTTTCCTGAGTTCACTACCAGCTAGGCGACCTCTAGGAGCGTGCCAGCAAGGAATCGAACCTAGACCTTAGGGTGCGGGTGGTGAGCTCTCAGCCACTGAACCACTGAGACAATATTTTTAGTGAATAACATTCTAAAGACAGGTTGCCTTCCCTGGTTACATCGCAAATCGCCATCCAGTAAATGATACCAAACAGACGAAAATGGAATTCTTAAGGTACTAGAAAAGGAATATGAAGCAATTGCTTAATTAAAAGATTCAGGACTCAAAGCAAAACAACCACCAGAAAATCTACAATTTATATTGAAAATATTATCCAGTATTTTTTAACTTATTTGCATGAGATAGATTTCCTACACACAACGCTATTAGCCCCAATTATTGTGAGAGGAGTGATGATATTACTAAGTTGCCCATACTAAATTAGATGAAGTGGGACTCGGACCCAGGACCTGTTGGCTATAAGCTGACCTACACTTCCACAACTTTGGTGATCAGAAGGCAACCGGTTTTCCTAACGTGATATGGTCACCATTATATTAATACACCAAGTTGTTTATGATATGCATTAGAGTAATCTTTAACTTTAAAATTTTCCTTGTGCCACCCTAAATTCACACCACACTGATTAAATATTTTTCTACTTCATCAGTTAAAGTGTAAGACAAATGTTCTTTTTCATACACTCAGTGCTATAAGACAAACACGGGCTGTTTTTACCCGTTAGAAAACGGTACTCGACTGTAAAAGAATGCTAGAACTATATGCGAAAACCGTGCGAGACAAGAATTTAAAAAAAATTAAATGCTACGCTAGTCAGCAAATTACTAAATTAGGACAAAAGCATCCAAGCACCTGGATAAAGTACATACGATCATTTTATAAGGATTTCTGAATCAGGTCGCGAGTCAAACATAAGGCTCCACGAGAATATCTACTAAAAAATCTAGTCACTATAAAAGACACTTCTAACATTAACCAGCTACACTAGTCACATTACGGGGAAACTAATATTCAAAACATGAGTTACTTTAAAAAAAATCTTGCTCACAAAGTCTAAAAACCTGAAAATTGGCGTACCTTCGGTAAAGAACACATGCGCATAGCGATACTGACTCTGAGACCCTTGAAAATCTTCCATTAGCAATTTTATAGACTACGAAATAAAGCTTAGCGGAAATCTTACCTCTTCAGTTGGAGTAATTAAATATATGGCTTCAATTGGTAGCACTTCTCTTTTCTTTGAAATATCCTCAACAACTAAAGAAATTATCATATATTGAAACCATAATACGTGTAATTCCATTATTCATTATCTCATGCATCTTGCAACACGAAGATACAATTCTAGTGGCCAACCTATCCAATACCAACACTTTCCAGTCTTTAGGTTTTCTTAACGGGACGATTATCTCATCCATAAGTTCTATTTTTTAGTCAAATATCAAAAGTATGCCTACTTTTCGCAACTGCTTGCTTTAAAGACATGACCAAGTTAAGTTAACTGCAAGGCCAGATTGTAAGTTCCGTTACAAAACAAAATGAGCGCAATGGCCACAGTACAATCCTAAATCTAAAGTGTACATTTGTGAATTAAATCGTCTGAAGGAATCTCTACATTTCGATGGAAAGATTCATGAACTCTCAAAAAAATTTATTTAAAGACTATATGTAGTAGGCAACAATCTCCATGGTTATAACAGAATGATTCAACTATGACATTTTTACAATACAACAACTAAACAGAGAGAAGAGGGAATACTCCCTACAGACAGATGTCGACCTCAAAATTCTAGCAGTTTATATAGATCAAGACTCACTGAGAAGTAGACAGTACAAGAAGAGAACTCATTATGGCTAAAAATGCATTGGATGAAATTAATGAGAACAGAGCATAGTTTGCCAACTTCCACAGGTTAAATGGTTTGATGAACAGAGGCAGAGTTTAAAAGAGCAAGGATATTCACCAGACCATATTGGTTGTAGACTGACCGGAAACTAGACAGACTTCACCACAATTTCAAGAATGTGGAATCACGGGTTGATTGACACAAAGTCGAGAATAAATGTTGGTCATTATGACTACTTAGTGCAAGGGGTCCTCAAGATGAAGTTGAAGGCCTTCAAAAAAGACCATGATGGAGCACAATTTTATGTTCAGCCTTCGAAAACTGAACAGCGAAGATCCAAAATACATCTTCAAGACAGCCACCCAGTTCTTGGAAACTTCAAGCAACACCATCGAGGAAACCCCCTTGAAAGAACACTAGGACTCTACGGAAGAGGCCCTGCATGACTACAAGACATACGCCCCTTATTTGCCCTGCTTACCAGTATTCTGTTATAAGCACAAAAATTGCAGGTTAAACTTTTGTAAAATCTTCATATCCCTCCAGAAGTGGAAGTCGTATTTGTTCCTGTGGAAGTTAGTACAAATAGCTCCCTGATGATTCTCCCTTATTTCTATAGTCTTGTGCATGTTCCAGTCAATCTTGAATAGCTTATCCTAATTTTAATGGTCAACTTTTTCTACTTTTCCACGCACGCTCAGCGTGGCTTGGTTAACTGAAGCAGACTGAAAAACTTCCCCTAAGCAAATACGAGCCAAAAACCCTGATACCAGTACTCAGAAAAATTAATATTTAATCTAGAAGGTCTGTTGAAGGTACTGTTAGGAAATGACCCTATCTGACAGTTCTGATATGAAAAGAGTCAGATGGTGAAGTCACCTGACAAGTGATGAACAGCCTGTTGTATATCTGACCTAGTCTTCTTGCCTCATTGACCACCCATGTGCCAGTAGTATAAACGTTCAAAAAGAATTACTGTCTCTTCGCCTGATGGAGTGATTCTTGGATAATTCACTTCAGCAAAACGGTAGCACTACCACAATGTTTAGCTTGGTGACCACACTGCACAAATGACGTGTCGACTCTAATTAACAAAGTTATTTATTAGTGTACTTCAGTGAGTCTTACAAGGGGGTGAGTTTGCATTGAATTGCTTCATGGCAAGATTATATGTTGATGCATTAAGTGTTCCGACCTTGTCAGAATAGATACCTCTCTCATGTTATACAAATCCGAATTTAGGATGCTTTCGATTCGGCTACTTCGTGTTGGGAAATCGTCCTGAGGTCCACTCGCTGACGTACTACCGCGGTTTCAAATCAGTCGGTCATCCTTACGACTCCACGGTAGAAATATAGTGAAATGCCCATCCTCGAACACAATAGAGATTTCGATCAACTTAACCCCCTTTGTGTCTACAACAGAAAATGAAGTATCTGGACTATTATCATAGGGAAACTCCCCGATATACGTATCACGGATCACAATCTCTAGGTCTGCACTATCATTTATGAAAAGACTTGACACATGAGTTCTCGTTATGGGACCTCTCACTGTTTAACCATGTGGCGTCTTCGTTGCATGCCGGTATCCCTTGCCTTCGTGTTTCTCTTCCATGACCTCCTGGCACACTGTGCCTAACAAGTAGTTCCGCCTTATGGTCAGAAATTGTGGGCAATGGCATATGACGTAAGGGAGGTTTTCTGACGATCTTATCACGTTCAAGGGCCACTACTTCACCAAGCTTCATACGAGAAGTAGTAAATTCATTTCGTACCTGTGTGCTCGCTTGAGTTGCCAAGGATTTCAAGGGAAATGACACTAGTCCACAGAACAAGATATCAAAAGAGTCAGCAGTATTCAGCACCAAAGTTTCTTTAGGTCCCTCAATGCCCAGATGGTTGGCTAACTGAATGTCAGTCAACGTGACATCAGGATCGATTATCTTACTGTGAATACATGTCAACAAGCGATCTTGTTCCTCACACTCGAACAGGCAACACACCTAAATATACTCTGCGTACATTATGTGCCTCACAAGTAGTATTAATATTAATATTCTTCCCATTTTTCAGCAGTGGCTGTAATCTTACTAAATTGCTAGGGCTATTCATATTAGATTTCATATGTCCTTTCAGACAAGGAAAACATACTTCTTTCTGTTTCGCAAATTACACTCTTTCCAAGAGGAACATTCTAAAGACAACCATAACATTCACTAAAGGATGTGAACTGTCACAATTGATACATCCTTTTGGTTTTACAGTACTCTGTTAGTCTTTAATCATAAATGATTTTCCCTACTCACAAACCTGTCGGCTTCAGTATTGAGGTGTAAGGTGCTAGCGAATTCAATGATCGTTCGGCTTACGTTATCTGCCGTGGGACTCAAAATATCAACATCCTCTTCCTCTAAGAGGCCAATGATCTTAACCCGTTTTTTCTCTAATCAAGTGGGTGGATGTCTGGCGATTACCTCAATAAAAGGAACTCGAAAATAAGCCATTGATTCAATTCAGAGATATCGAAGTATTTTTATAGGTCATCAAGTTGTCGTATCTTAACTGCCAACTATTACCCTTGACAGTGTCAAACACGCTCTTAGAAATCATACATAGTCTGCCAGATCTCTGGCGTAATAATCTCCTAGCCTACTTCAACCCCCCCTTATGAAGCAAGGGGCTCACAGCGTTGCATTGTACTCTCAGTAGCTCCAGTATAATGTCCCAACAAATAAATCAACCTTATTTCATCATTTAGCCTGTTATCACTCAACATTATCTCAATCTTGTTTTCTTGTGTTCTCGCTCCCCACAGTCTGGCGCATAATCCCGTCGACCACAGTTAGGAATATCATAGGTGGTAACTGGTCGCCATATGTCACTCCTGTATTCAATCCAAAAACTTCTCTGAGTTTTCCTTTGTGAATCACCGCTTACATCTTGCGGAAATTATTTCTGCTCAAGGTTTTGCTCCACGCTACGACGACGAATGAAAATTATTTAATGGAGCTGTTGTCATAATTTTGGGGAATACGGTGAGTCGTTCACTGTCTCCCAGTACACTCATTCACCACATACAGAAGTTAGTTGTTGTTTGATTTGGAGACTGGAGTCATTTGCGATGAGGATATGTCTTCATTCTTCACCGTCTTTTTGGTTTTCGGCTGATGCTTTGAAGTCTGTAGTTGTTAGCTGCACATCGCTCACACGGTTCTCCCCATCGCGTGTCTTATACCACTGGTTAACTACGATATAAAATCAAGGTGAGGGATTTCACATAGTGACTACTAGTACATTTTCGCGTTGACTGAAAAAGTGGGAGATTTACGGTATCTGAGAATCACAACGTTCTGCCTTCCAACATGTAGCGAAAGTATTAAATAGTTAGGTAGATTGCCAAGAACTTTCTGTCAAAGTGGAAAAGAGTGCCACCAGTTCCCAACCATTTTCAACTAGGTGATTTAGCGTTGCTCCTAAAGCCTTATCTCATGAATCTACATTTATGGAAAGAGGAGCCTCTGTATCAGGATGTTTAAGAGCTGTGCCCTTAGCCAGTGCATCTTTGAGCTGTGCAAACTGCATCGGACGCCTCTTTTGACAACTGGAACCCTTTTGGTCTTCCCCTTCATGTATTGATCAGGGGCCACATTCACTGTGCGCATTTAGGGACTGAACATCATTAAAAGTCAGTCACCTCCAGAAAACTTCGCAGTCGCGTTGAGAAGTGGATGAGAGATGCTGCTTGATGGTATCCATCTCTTTGATGAGAATCAAGTACCATCAATGACATATCCTGGAAGCCCCATTGTTTCTGCCCCCAAAACGCACTTCCTCTGATTGAGTGTCATGCCTCTGCCTCCTAGTTTGTAGAGTGTTGCCCGGATGTGGTCCCCGTGTGCGTTTATATCCAGGCTAGTGACGAGCTGGTCGTCTATGTAAGCTTTGGCGAACGTATTTCACTCAGAAGTCATCCATAAACCCAAAATTGTTTGCAGCATCCTGGGGACCAAATGGTATCCGCATGAACTCGTGTTATCCGAATGCCGTAGTAATGGCTGATTTAGGCATGTCTTCGTTAGCCATCAGAATACTGTGATAGGTGTGAACTAAGTCCGCTTCAGTGAATTTGTAAATTTATATGAAATACATTATTATTATTATTAATACTGTGGCACCTCGAACACTATTAGTTATGTCTTGAATGTGTGATAATGGCACCCGTCTGGACGGTTTGCTTGCTTGGTACTATGTAATTACCACAAGAGTGCCACTCAGTCTGGTTTTTGTTAGGCGTCATATGCAACAGTTGAGTCCATTGACTATCAAAGGGGCAAATAATCCCCAACTGAAGCATATGGTCGATTCGGATTTCGCTATTTATAGTTCTTTCGGGGCCAATCCACTTAGTTTATCCAAAACTGAAGGGCCATTTGTTCTTATAGTAAGAGTAATTCTAGGACCCGCCTTGAAAATTTGAGGGCTGGCTACGTTTGGACTTGGGAACTCCACAGACATCTTCCTGATGGTTTCGGCTCATACTGGTAGAGAATCGACTGGATTCAATAAACGGTGTTCGCTTGATATGCTAGTCGTATATTAGGTGGTTCCTGTCATTGTTGAATGTCACTTTCTAGTA